AATCTACTTTTGTTGTGTTTTTTATTTCTTTTACTTTTCATATATGCTTTGCCTATTATTATTATTATTATTATTATACAAATTACCGTAATTGTATTATAATTATACAATAGTCTCATGATAATGTTTTCTTGGGATTTTAAATCAAAAGGGACGAGGGGTATGGATTATTTCCATTCCAGGATCCGTGAAACGAACTGAAATAAGATTAATTCGTAGTATATTATAATGGAGATCATATCGAATAATGCGTGGACGGAATATTGATTTTTGCCGTAAAAATAATTATTTACAAAATTAAAAAAAAGAATAATGATATTTTATTAGGGAAAAAAATTAAAATAAAAGGCATGGGCATGTTTTTAATAATATGTCTTGAAGTAGACATAGAGCATCTCTTAGAATTTATAGTCGAAAGTTTAGAAAATGTTCCTTTGAACTGTATAGTCACCTAGATCAGAAAGGTCTATCAGACAATTGTGTCAGGAATTTTGGTTTAGAAAAATGAATGACACAGTTTGATCGTCCTACGTTTAGTTTGCATTATATTGCTTAGAAAAAAATTATTAAAAAATTAGCCAAAAGTTATAACGCTTTTGTAAATAATAGCTTTTCTAATATTAGAAAAGAAACTAAAAAATATTTTTGTAATGTATATGTATGTATATATATATATATATATATATATATATATATATATATATACATATATAATAAAATAAAACATAACTCCACAAATCATCGCAGCTTTAACACGATTCGTTAATATATATATATATATTTTTTTTTTTAAATTAATTTAACACAAATACACGCTTTTCACAGTTTTCAACAAAATGCCTGCAGTGCTTAGTGACTAAATATTTTGCGTTTGATTAATGGAAGCATCAAAATCATAACAGGTGAAAAAGGGAGATTGAACCAATTCAGTTTAAATATACTAATAAGCATTTGTACAATTATATTTAATCACCAGAAAATGTTACAAGAAAAAATTATATAAGTATTAGTTTGGAGAGACAATAAAAAAAATTGAACATGAAATTAATTTTTACCGACAAAATATTTTACCTTCAACATAGACAAACTTAAGGCTCATCCATCCTCACACGTTACGTTGAATCAAGGTTCGACACAAAGGGTTACCTTCACAAGGGCGATAACCTGTCATTTTAAGACAATTAATCACAGTCATTCCCATCGGAGTGTACTTAGAACACAAAAGTTAAATAACAATTATTCCAGTAATAAATATCTAAGATAGTCCGAGATCCTAACGTTCTCACCATGATCTTAACTATAGCAATCGAAACATAACCATTAAGCTATACTACGTTAGACCGTGAACCAAGCGAGCAATCGCTTGGAAACTCTGATCAACCGTGGTAAATGACGTGAAGAGATCAACCATCCAAGTAATGAATATGTTCAACGCTAATCCCATGGATCAACCTGATTCAATAATATTAGTCACATACATTGAAGTTTTCGTTTAAGAAAAATAATTTTAGAATTTTTAAAGAAAGAAAGATTTGAAGTCTTCCTTTTCAGAAAGCTCTGAAATTCCTAAGGAGGCTGAAACCGAACCAGTACCTCAAGCTCTTTGAACTTCCTACGCTCCCGGAGTTCATACATCGAAGGTACATTAAGTGCTTTGGTTCCATCGAATTACTACTAGCGGATCCAGGATTTAATTTTGGGGAGCGCTTCAGCCGAATGTTTTTTTTCCCACATATATAACGATACTTACTTTGAAAAAAAAAAAAAAAAAAAAACATAACCTACATAAACTCAAAAGGACATGTAGTTAGGAAAGGCAACTTCAACGAACATCGCACCAAACATACAGTCATAGATAAAAAAAAACACATGAAAATATAATGTTCTATGTTCGGAATTATGACACAAAACTTCGAAGAACGAGACGATAAATTCAATTTATCACACAGCCTACTTTTTTTCTTCAAACTGTCAGAAATGATATATGAGGTGCTTCTTCAAAAATCTTTGCTACGCCATCTGTCCTCCATAGGTCGGAATGTACCCTATATTCAATAATTCACTTTATTTTTTATATTCCTGAAACTGTATTGATTCCTACTATCAAATATTCTTCAAAATAAAATAAGTTAAAATTTTCAGGTATTCACAAATCATTTGGAAGGAATTTATTATACATTCAGAAGTGTTATAATTATTTTAATGGAGAGATTAAAAAAATCTACATGAATACAATCCATGGAGGTTCTTGGATTCAGTTCTTTATAATAAAATATCTTTTCCTGCAAATAGTTGTGCGAGGATGTGATTTGAGAAAGAGTACCCATGGGTAGCAATTTTTTTCACTTTTAATTGTTGCATTCATACAGTAAATAATGATTTTAAATAGAAATGTGTACTTAGAAATTACCTCCCATGTCTCATAACACAAGTTGACTACTTCGATGGTGAATAGGTTTTCTTTTTCCGTAATTATTCACTTACATTGGTTTTAATAATGGCTCTAAAAATAAAAGCTATAAATGTTTCACGCTGGTAACATAAAAAAAAAAAAAAAAAAAAAAAAAAAAAAAAAAAAAAAAAAAAAAAAAAAAAAAAAAAAAAACGTTGGTCTATAGGTTTTTTCTCTCCTGGCTTAAGGAAAATCGTTTCAAGCTTTATATTTTTATTTTATGGTTAACAAACTGCAGGAGGTTTGTGTCAAACTGAGGATAGCCTGTGGTTCACCTCCCTTCAGTTTTAATGACCTTCAGTTAATATACAGGGAGTTTGAGAGTTAAGTAGCCAAACTGAAAATATAAATTAAAGACCTCAAAACTAGAAAAAAAATTCCTATGAAGGTATATCCGCAAACGCTTTGTTTAGGAGATATTCGTGCCTAAAGATTTACATTGTTATGAATTATTTACTTTATATTAATTGCATAAAACTTATTTATTTGTTCCAATTACTTTATTAATTAAACGTAAACATTAAATTCATATTAAATGTTGTTCAAAGTGATTCTCTTGAGCATTAAGACAGACACGGCATCTTTCATCAACAGCAGCAGTGGCAGAACGGTACTGAATATGTGTTAATGTTTCACAAGATTCAATTATCCTTCTTCGTAAGGAATTAAAGTCATTGACCGGACTTTCATAGACTTTTCGTTTAATGTTGTCCCCAGCAAAAAAATCCAGGAGCGTGCAAGTCAAGCCACTAGTCCTGCACGACCAATCCATTGATTGGGATAATTAACATATAGTCATTGTCGTGGGAGTCTTCCGTCATGTGCAGGACAACCATCTAATTGAAGCCACATGTCCCTTCTCAGTTGTAGTGGAATATTTTCAACTAAATCATAGTAATCATTATTAAGTATTGAGTCGAGGCGGTAAGAAATGCAGATCTATTAAAATATTGTCTATTAATCCCAACCACAGCACTGAAATTGGTGCTGAAAATGATGCTCACGAATTGCACGGGAATGTTCCTGCGACTAGAGATGATTATTTTTCTGATTGAAGATACCTCTACTTGTAAAGGTAGCTTCATCTATCCAGAGAATTTTCACTGAAAATTGTGGATTATGCACAACTTCATTTAAGTACCAATCTAAAAAATGTCTTCTTTGCCGAAAATCTTACGGTAATAATATAATGATACCCGTTGATAATGATATGGGTGAAGTCCATCTGCAATGAGAGTTCTCCAAACTGTAGTTGGCGTAATATTTAATTCTGCTCCAGCTCTTCGTACACTGAAAGATGGATTATAATCAAAATAGTGTAATATGGTTTTCTTTTTCTTGGAATGAAAGTTTTTTTTTTTTTGAGGTCCTTAGTTCATTTTAGCAGTTGGCCACTTAACTCTGAAACACGCTGTAGATTCTCTATACGATAATGCACGAGACCTTCTTGGTTAGGGAGGTTAACTTGGTATAATTTAAACATTTCGTGGCAATATGGTATAGTATTTTATGCCCTTTTAAACTCTCAATATATATAAATATTCTCAATATATAATACAGTATTGTATTGAAATCTTCAATTGAACCAAAATTCAGTATGTGATGTGCAAATCACTTATTCAATTCTTCTATTCTTCTAGTGAATCTCAGCCCCTCGCCCTTATAGTGAGTCTTATTCTTAGAGAGTGTCTCAGCCCCTCGTCCTTATAGTGAGTCTTATTCTTATAGTGAGTCTCAGAGCGTTCGCCTTCTCGCTTCACACCTGGATACACCACTCCAATTAATTTAAATAAATTAAGCGATGACCGAAAAACCACTCAATCTTCAAAGAGCTGTAATGGCCTGTAGTGCTAGTTCGTCCTTGAATCTTTCCTTCAATTGTTGTAATGGTGGGATTATTTCTCTTTTAAACTTACATAAATTTTTTATAAAAAAAATATTTTTTCCCAACTGAACTTATATATACCCTTATTTTTGATCCCATTCGAATTAATAATAAAACGGGTTGAATTTTGTGCATTTTTTATTAATTTTTCTTATTAGCATTCTATTTCCTTCATAGTTTCAAATCAACCATGATAAGATGTCTCTAATCAGATTGTTTCCTAAGAAGGGAGTTTCAGCATCATTAGTTTCTTAACTTGAAATAAATAGTGAAAACAACCATTTTTTACACTTTTTTCTTCTTCATGGAGTTAGCATATTGAAACAGGAGAATAGCTCATCATAATATAGTTATCATAGTTCCATATTGTTAAACAAAACAGTTTTAAACATTTGTGAACAATAAACATTTCTTACACAATATAAGTTGATACATATATATATATATAGATATACTTCATGATACGTATAGAAATATGTTCAATCTCCTTTTATATAGATATTTTGAATTTCTAAATAATATATTTGATAAATATTGTAAAGATTGGAATAATTACTAGAAAGCCAAGTTAAGAAAGGAAAGGATGATTTTGATGCGGCCACAACTGTGTGAGTTGATGAGCTTTTTGGAGGGATTGCCTCGTTGCCAGGGCTGATGTTGCAGGACCACAAGGAGTATACGGACCCGGAGAACTTGATGCTCTTCCCGACTTCCGAATTCCGTAATCCCATCTGTCTCGAGATGAAGCTACTTTCCCGGGGAATAGACATGTCAAACGCTGTCATGGACCTCGGTAAGTTTATTTAATATATGTATATATTATATTAATATGTAATATGAAAATTTCTATCATGTAGTATCTCAAATTGTTTCTAAGATTCTGTGATTCCATCCTCTTTAATTCCTAGTTTACTCTCTAATATTTCCCTGCTTCGAATATAGCTGCCTTGTGTCGACTGTCTGGTGGGCAAGAGATAAGAATGAATTGAAATGCCGTCAATGTACATTACGAAATTATCGCACGATAACTATTTTGATTTCCGTTCTCTAAAATGGTTCGTCAATGAACAGACACAAAAATAGTATATCGTGTTAATCGACATAAAAAGATGCATACCATACAAGAGAGAAACATATTACGCAGATATACAATGGTTAGCTTCATTAAATATAATCGCTATTGTTTGCTCGGTTATGTTATCTGTTTGATATTATCTGCTTTTGAAAACAAAAATTTTTATTTCTTCTGAATGGATATAAACAAGGTACAGGTTTGAAGATTACATAATGCTCGAACTGTTTGTCAAGTCTGCTCTATTGCCAATCTCCATAATATTGTTTATCCTTGATACACGTGTATCTAAAAGGATTCGGGAAGGAGAGTATGTTATCTTCTTTATCATCTCATCTTTCAGAATCTATTGAGGATTCTGCCATTTATATATAAAAGTTATTTTTTCACGTTTTATTGCGTACTTTTCGTAGTGTTGTGAATTCAGGTTTGATACTGTAATAAGGTTAAACCAATATTCAATCATCTTCCTAGTAATGCTTGTTGGTTTATAGCAAGAAGGTTAAATAAAAAATTAAATAAGTAAAACCCTTTGACAATGACTATTTTAAGTATAGCCCGTTTTATTCTGGCTGACACATTTTTCGCACTTTTATATTTGTACACCATAGGTAAAGGAAGGGTGTTATGGTGTCAAAAAAAGGATGCTACTGTTCCATAACTTAATAACTCCAGAGCTATTAGAATTTATAATGTAGTTACTAAATAATTACTTATTCTATTTTATGGAGCTAACTATTGCATGTCCGAGTAACAGTTTCTCTCTGATATAGTATGAATCATTTAATTTGATTAAAACGAGATAATATTTTTTTGGCTGTTTATAGACATACTGTTTTAGAGAAAATAAATCAAAATAGTTCTGGACCGAAATAGTTTCTCTGGAAAATTCCGTAGCTTTTAATTGACATTTTGAGAGAGATAGTGTTCCTTTAGCATTGAAACCTGGACCGGCTTATGTATTAAATTTCCAGAACTGACAAGAGTAAAACGGAAAATAACGGAAAATCTCCAAGAAATTGACTTCGAAACAACATTTACAATTAATGTTATTTATGTATAATACTTATACAGTTTATATAGCTGACATCCCAACCCATCCTAACACATGTGTCCTATCAGTCAATAACGACCCATCAATTGCATCCCAAACTCTTCAACCATACATAACAGACCTTGAAGAATGGTGCCAAAACTGAAGGATTAAAATAAATCTCATCAAATCATGTTTATCCTTCTTCATAAACCGATAACTTCTTGTCCTACAACCTTTAACAATACGCCATTTATCGCTGTTGAGTAAATCCGATACCTTGAAATCCACCTGGTTGAACACCTAACTTAGAATAAACGTACCAGACTGAAACGACAAGAAACCTCTCTCATTAGACAAACAACACAGTAATTATTAGACAAATGCTCTAAGCTTTCAATTAATTACAAATGACTCATATACATGACAATAATAAGGCCTATTTGGACTTACGAAGTTGAGCTTTGGGGCTCCACTAAGCCATCGAAACCAATCCTCTCTTATCCAATCCTTACAATCCAAAATCCTTACTTTATTGCAAATAAAATCATCTATTATGAATCCTTTCATAATAAACTTCTAAACCATCAGAACCCTCTCGTTTCTAATATTGCTTTCTCTATGATTCCTGATAACCCACTGAAGCGTCTAAAAAGATGATGGTCCCGTGATCTCCTAATTTTGTCATATTATTATAGTGCTACTAGTGTGTAGTTTCTCAACAAGTGTTTTCATGTCACCACATTTATTTGTACAAATTTACCAAATTATATTATCTCATAATATAGTTGTAAATATCATGAATATATATATTTTTTAAAAATGTATGATACAATCCTTAATATAAATTTAAACAAAGAGAGTATATATATACACAACAGTAGTACTTATGTTCACAGAAGACTAAATAAAATAGAAGTCTCATCTTTTTTATCAGTCTGCATATTTCTGCTCATGACATATAAGGCTGCTATATTATTAATGGGTCTAGTTCACTTGAAATTCGACCACTTGTTGAATGCAAAAGTGAAATACGTCCGTCGTATCAACAAGTATTGATTGAACGATATCTTCTCACATAAAGGTTCATCACCTATAATCCCATATTAATCATATATTTATTTTAATGCTATTACTAATTGTATGATCGTGTAGTTACAGACTCATACGATAATGTTATATTCTTTTCAACGCCTATTTAATTTAATTTTTTTTCGTATTATTATTAACATATGAGACAATCCATCTAAAACTTAATAAATATTGTATAATTGAACGAAAATACTGAAGGGGAGTGGAGGAAAATGGATAGATGAAAACATTTTTCAGAATTTTTTGTTTTTTTTAGTATAAGAAGTAAACATTTTTGTAATTCTGGCGGTGTATCGTGGGAAAAATATACGTTATTCAAATCATCACGTTCAGAATAAATTCATGCCAGTGGATGACTTAAATACGAAATATCGGCATAAAAAAATGGTTAAATGTCATGGAGAAGCAACAGATTATACGACTTGATAAGATGAATATCAGTATGCACATTTCCATTAACAAGGCAAATGGAGTTGCATGCACCAAGTTGCGTCATCAAAATGTTTAAGTGGGACACATTTTTATGAGGTAAATTTTTTTTTTTTTTTGTGTGTTTTATTAAGTTATGAGTTTTTAAAGGGTACCAAATTCTAATAGATAACTTTCAAAGCAAGGAACAAACGAATACACTTCTCCTTTTTTATAAAATTTACAACTGTATTAAAATACAAATGTGATATAATGATATGAAAAAGGTTGTAAAGAAACTAACCACTGGTAGTAGTTTAATAAAAGTTCTAGATTAGAAGATGCTGAGACCATCTTCGTTTGATACGCTTCGGAGGTTTATCAGGGATCGAATAAGAAGCAATGATAGAAACGAAAAGATGCGATGAATCAATGAAGTTCCGAAGTTTATCATAGAAGGATAGCTATCTGGATTGGACCAAATTGGCAACATATGGAACATTAAAATCAATATGGCTGTCGTTATTTGTGACAAAATAAGAAGCATTGAGGATTTTACGAAGGATTTTTGGACTGTAGGGTATTGGATATGGGAGGAATGCAAAGGTCCAAATAGACTTTATAATCATTTTTAGTTAATAGAAGTGAAAAGAACTTAACTACACCACTATAATTTTACTTTCATATGCACTTTTTTAAAGAAAAGTATAATAAACATTTTTTTTTGGCACGAGGCACCGTCGCTCTTTGCGGGGACGTGTACGCTTGTGCAAACTGACAATGAAGAATATGCGGTATATTCTATGAAAAAGTTTTGGAGGAACTACAAGCCTTCCGTAGGTCATACATTATTATGAACTGTGTTAAAGACAAGTCAAAATTTGGTGAAACCAGTATGTCTCTTAAGGGGCGGAGGAACTCAGAGATTTGTCCATATCTGAAAGACAATTCAAATTTTTAATATGAAATTAGATTGGATTCAACAAGTACCAGATTAAAGAAGAAGACTGTCGACGAGAGTTAACGCTTAACAGTGTAAATCATTAAAACTGGATTTAACATCTTTAGCTTCTTCATGCCTCAATAACTTTTTCTGATAATTTAAAAGCACCTTTATAAATAAAATAATCAATGTTTTTAATGAAAGGGATGGCTGTTGAGCCAAAAAGAGGCAACAGCCATTGTACTGCAGCGTTGCCTATACCCCCACCTAGGACTCTCTTTCACCACGTGGACTTTCACTAGAACTAATCTGATTAAGATGACGTTCGTCAGGGGGCGTAGCTCAGATGGTAGAGCGCTCGCTTAGCATGCGAGAGGTACCGGGATCGATGCCCGGCGCCTCCATAACTTTTATCAATTTAACTTCTTTTTAGGATGATCTTCACGCATAATTTGCTTTCATTACTATAAATACGGCCTTTATTTTTAAGGTCGTATGTAAAAATTGAGTTTATTTAAAGATGAGAAAAATCCATTATTTCTTTATTGTCCATTTGTATAATTTCATGTTTTATTTCCCTCTGCTACTTACCTATTTACCAGGCAACTTATATCAGTTGCAGACAACAAAATATGATTTGTAGCACAAAGATAATAAACATGTAAAAAAATTAGTTACGATCTTATTAATTACAACGGTGATATAATACCAAATATTGGTTCAATAATTTGCAATTAGTAACAGGACAAATGAGGTTAATTGTTTAAATTTTGTGTAAAATTATACTCGTCTCTTAAAAATAAAAATCAATAAATTCAAAATTAATACTTATATGGAATAATAGTAATAAATGCACACATCGATATCAACTGTGTAACTGATAGCATAAGACATTAAAACCACTGTAATAATAAACAAATCAGAAACGTTAAAACATTTAATCATTAGAACTAAACATTAAATCAGAAAAGTTAAAAAATAATCATCAATAAAATCACAGTCATAATTGTCTTTTCACATGATAATAATGGTCTAAAAGGTTGTTAGTAATTAAAACCAAGTCAGAATATATTATTGCAGGGGATTTTAATAGAAGAGCGGAGAATAGTACCATGGTCCAGTCAAAAAATTAATCAGGAACATTGTTGAATATTGTTGCCAGTGAATATTTATTTCAAACATAACAATAACGAATAATGTTTATCAATTATAAGAAATTATCGCCAATATGTGTCTAATGAGCTGAACGCTTTGCTGAGTAAAATTTGGAAATAAGAAAGAGAGGTAAAATGTCCAGTAAACAGGAGCTTTTTTTTGTTACGACCTTTTTGGTCGTAAGTCAAACATTTCAGTGGTAACACATGAGCAAAGCTTTTAAGAAATTAGTCATAAATTAATACTTTTGAACATGATATATCACCAGAAAGAAATTATCAGTAAATCATAGATTTCCGGGTAGAAATGAGAGAGAAAACAAAAAGAAACTGAGACAGGTGGAAATATAAATTAATTCCACCTGTCCCATTGGACTTCTACGTAAGTTTTAAAAACAACCTTCAGGCATTTGAAATGATCTAAGGAAAAACAAGTAGAAAAGAAATATGCAAATGGGCAGAAAAATAACTAGGCAGAATCTAGATCTGAGACTGAGGAAAGAATATACGAATACAAAGGGGGAAAGGACAGCAAATACTTGACCGTGAAAATGGCTGACGAATGAAATTATACACGGGTTTTATACTAAAAGGGATGCAAGGAAAGGTCAGATGTTTGGCGGGTTGGAGTGTCGTGTCGCTGAATTGTATAATTGCTATTTTATTGCGCTCTGAGGTAGGTGGTCACCTTTCAGCGATAGCATTTAGGGCCGGTTATAGTAGGAAATTATATCATTTAACTTCAACCGACTGAAGGCTAAGGGTTTTACAGCCTTCTCAGCGTTAAATATAAACAAAATATGGGTTGAATTTTAAATGGCTAAGCAACACACTTCATAAATTAAAAACAGCGAAATATAAGAATAAGAAATTCTAAAAATATAATCCAACATTTCTCTTTTTTTTAATTTTGGACTTTCCACAAAAACTATGGATTTCTTTAACCAAGATTTTGTATTACGATTTTCTGTTCATTTCTCCTACATACTTCCTCATTATCCACTCCTACCTTACTGACAGATACTTCAAAGTAAATCATAACAATTATTTTTTTTCAGTTTTTTTTGTGTTCCTCAAGGTAGTATCCTAGGTCCTATCCTTTACACAGTTGATACAGCTGACTTCCCAATCCATTCCAACACTGTCATCACCACCTATGCCGATGATACGTGTATCCTATCAGTTAATAACGATCCATCTATCGCATCCCAAACTCTTCAATCACACATCACAAATCTTGAAAAATGGTGTCAAAACTGTAGGATTAAAATAAAATACAATAAATCCCATCAAGTCAGCAGACACAGTGGAGCTTAGAAGTGCGCAAGTTGACCCATAATAAATTTTGAGGAAACGTCAGTTCAAGAGATTATGAATTTTTGAAGTGAATCATATTTTTGTGAAGTGTTAATTGAAGGGATTTTTTAAACCAAGCAATGGGGAGAAAAACTAGACTACAATTTTTATAATTTTATTTTTACTAATATAGACATATAACTAGAAAAGAGACATGAGATTATGTTTTAAATTGAAAAATGCAAATTATAAAACCACGAGTCGCTAATGTACAGGTGAATAGCTAAGCTGCCATTTCGCTCCGTTTTATGAAAATGACAGATGTCCCGTCTTTGATATTAAGCCAGTCATATGATTTCTAAATAATAATTGTTATTTTACTAAAAGTAACTGTTACTATAAGTGACTGGCGATACTTAAGTTAAAAAGATCCAGTTAATAAATATTAGTAACCTATCTCCAACCCATGACTGTGAAGCATTTTATTAATTAAACTGCCTTTTTCTTCTTTAGTAATGATTCATGTCTATTATTTGAAAAAAAAAATCTTAATCAAATAATAGTAATTTCAGAATTGATGATCTTTATAATACTGAATATCACAAATAATATCCGAGCTAACAAAACAAACTGGATCAAATTAAGACATTTGCATTGTTGTTGTTTTTAAATTTAATTTCCGTTATTGCTATATTTTTGTTATTTTTAATATTGACTATATACACATCAATGATGACTGATTGCAGGTTCAGTAGACTCTTCGGACACGTACGCCTCCTGCAACACGGCACCGTTTCCATCGCAGGTGGACCTGACGGAGGACTCCAACTTGTACGTGAACCCTCTGGAGCTGAGGAACGTCAAGAAGTCTGCTTCGGGGGACACGATGCTGCGGGGGTCGCCGACGGGAGAGGAGGCTTGGATCGGATCCAGGGGAAGTCTCAACGATGCACCCATTCCCAAGCACAGGAAAACCAGGTTCCAACAGGCATGTATTCCTTTTAAATGTAATTTTAGAGGGAGGATTTTCCTTATAACAGAAGCTAGAGGTTTTTGAGAAATCGGGAAAACGAAAATACAGAATGAGCAACGAGTCGTCTACAAGGTGGAAAAAGTAAACTTACTACTGTTGTAATTATGAGTAAAAATTTCACTACATATCAAGATTTGCAGGGTCTTCTTCCTATCTTTGAAATTCATGTAAAGGAAATTAAAAAAAAAAAATCTTTATTCTCCCATTTCTCAAATAATGGTCATCTTAGAATTTTTATAATTCATAGTTGAATAAAACTATAAAAATTTAATTTTCCCTCAAAATTTCGATTTGGCAAGATATGTGACTGTTACTTCGAGTGCTTACAGAAAGAACAAAAAAAGAAACACCATACATTTAAACATATTCTGAAAGCAATGAGGGATATTTTGGCAGATAAAGTTACATATATCACTTAATAATAGGCATAATGTAATGATATCTAAAAACAGATATTATATGAGAAAAAAAAAACCTGTCAAGATCATCATATTTATAACTGAGCAGAACAAGATAATAATAAAAAACTATTAAAAAAATATTGATAAAACCAATAATATATTAAAGTCTGTATTGCTAAGACAATAGCCTATTATGCAAATCAAAATCGTAATAAAAGCTAATGTCTGTTATCTGAAGCCGTTTACCCTTATCAACTACTCCACATGAATCGCTTAGTCAACTACACCACACGAGTGCCTTCACTGATATAGGTTAATGTACTATTAAATGTGGAACACAACAATTATAATGCCCGAGGGTTATGCCAAAATCGTTATAGCAATGAGCAATTATAACTTAAATTTCAATACAGTAAAAGAGAAAATGAACATGCTGTCAACGGTACATTATTTACAGTTATATGTTAAGAACTGTAGGGCAAAAAGCGTTGGCAATTATTCCGGAAGTGCTTCATAACTTCACTGAATAAAATTAGACATCATAGTTATATCTATTTTTTAACAATAGTTCGTTCTATATTTACTCTAATTCTGATTTTAACAAATTAGATTAACATTTTAAAAACAACAATGAGCACAGAATTTATTAACTCATATAACTAAAAGCAAAAAATTTTACCTATCTATATATGTTTTTGTTGAACTTTTACTTTTATTGATACATGCCATTTCAAGACATTTATTTCTTAACATTTATTTTCAAACTTCCTTAACAAAAGTTTTTATATAATAGTTTTTATAAACCATTTACTTGAATAAGTTTTAAGGAAAAAAGTTTTTGTTGAACTTATACTTTTATTGATACATGCCATTTCAAAACATTTATTACTTAACTTTTATTTTCAAACTTCATTGACAAGAGTTTTTAAATAATAGCTTTTATAACCCATTTACTGGAATAGGTTTTAATGAAAAAAATAATATGATTTTACGTTTTTATTAACAGAAAATATAATCATCAGTATATGAACATAGCTACATTCTGAGAAGGAGTTGGTAGGAGGGTGCGGTCAAATAAATACTAAATTTTTACAATAATATTTTAATGGTTACGCCGACGATTCGACCCACTTGGTAGGTCTTCTTCAGGGCGCGGTATAGCGGACGGGCTGGCCAAATGGGCTAACGTGTGTCCACAGCAATACTAGTTGCCTCACCCTCCGGCCCGGGAAAATGCCGTATAGCCTAAAATTCCAGCTAGGGAAGAAAAAAAAAAGACTGCTAGTCTATCACCTGCAGTGGTCTACACCGAAACGTAACAATTAAAATACTATTGTAAAAATTTAGTATTTATTTGACCGCACCCTCCGACCAACTCCTTCTCATATTATATCACGGTCAACTATCTCTACATCATTATACAGTAAATATTTACAAGGTTTAAAGTATATGGAACAAAGTAATATGCATTACGTTGATTCAAAAATATTAAAGCTTTTACTTTTCTAATAAAACAATTCTGATAAACAAATCAAACTGTGATTATACATAAAAATTCTTGTTCAAAATAATGGAACTTACGTAAACATGGCCAACGAGAAACCGGTTGCACGAACCCACAGAACTACCTCATAGATTGAATTAGAAACGTTTAAGAGTGTACGAAAGCCGCGGAAGATGTGATAAGAATATTACGTCAAAATAGAGAAGTGGTTGAATCATAAAATCTTAGGACATATTGATACATAATTATGTTTTAATATAAATGACGATTTCAATAAAAGTAACATTTATGTATTAATAATATAGTTACATACCAACTACTAGCCCCTAGCTTAATCGAACTTTCTTGATCGATTTTAGTTTACATATTTTATTCATTCATATAGCTTATATATAATTAATAATTCTTTAAGTGCTTTATCCATTTATGGTAACATTTTCCAATTTCCTATGAAAAAAGTTTAAACTTACAGACCAAAAATTTAAGGTTTTGTTTAACGATTGGTTGCGCTAAACTTTTTCGGGCATTTACAAAATGTTTTAGACAAGATAATTTAAGAAACCGTTTAACTCGCACTGTTGAGAAAGTAGTAGTAAAGGTTGATGAAGGATTCAGCAGGTTGGGATAAGCTCTGTGGGCGGGGTGGCCAAGAGGGCAAATGCGTGAGCACAGCACCGTGCGTTACCCGGCAACATGATAACCGAAGTTTTCAGATAAACAAAAAATTACAAGTTCAAATCTCGGTGCCCAGTGGGACTTATAACTCGGCTTAGTTCCCCCACCATCTCCCCTGGCCCAAGAAAACCCCGTGTAGCCTAAAAGGTAAGGAAGGGGAGGAGAAAAAAAAAGTGATGAGAGTGAGCTTCAAGCATCTAATTTTCCACCTCATTGAAAGTGGGCCAAATAGAAGCTACATGATGGATTCCAGCTATGTCCGGCTTGGGGGCGAAATTTTTCAATGTGGAACTTCGTAAAGAACATAAATATGTACGCTCATAAGTAAAATAAATTATTATTGTATTATGCAAGAAAAAAGACATCTTTATGACATTATAAATGATTTTTTTACAATTATAGCTCTAGAGAGTATAGTAATTTGATAATTTGATTTAATTTTATCCCACATTTAAACAACCATTCTTTCCAACGATTAACATAACGAGGACTAAGTAACTAGAAAATCAAATATTAATAATTGCATAAAAAAAGTTTATAGCCCAAAATTTTTTTTGAAATTTCTATGTACTAAATATTCTATAGATAGATATGAGATATTTCTCGTAGAGCGAGAAGAAAATTGGAAATTTTGCAGTGACATATATTTGAGAGGACGTCCAAGGCAATCAGAAGAGCTAATATAGGCGCCCAATAACCCTCGACCAATCAGCAAGCAGCCAGGAAATGGAGCTTTTCTTCAGCCTGAATCCATCCAATGTCCAATATCTTTTATTATATCCATCACGAATTAGATCAAGTTGGCCACGCCCGATCTTTTTCTCTACATTGAACTTGTTAAGATACACACTACAGGATAGTTACAACAAAGTCTCATAATAGCCAACTGAATCAAACATTAATTATAGAAAAATCAAAAGTACCACATTCTGGATAACTTCTTAAAAATTCGAACAGTACATTAAAAATGTGATCATTTGTTTGGCTCAGAAATCTTCAAAATCCAGAGAATAATTTCATCGCAATATCGGGTCCAGGATTTAATTTTGGAGGAAACTTTTTTATTTTTTTATAACGGTAATTACGCGGGAAGAAACTATATAAAATAATGTTTAAGCGGTCCTGAAGTCCTGTTAAAAAAGAAAAAAAAACTTTGGTACAATAACTATAATGGTTTTGCGAATAGTTTTCCTCGTCACGTAGTTTAGTACATTCAATAGTTTTAAAGAGTTATAATTTAAAAAGGAAACATATTGTGACTGCTAACTTGAACATATTTGGCTCAGATCATTCACAGAAACAAAAAAATCTAGTCCGCGCAACACACAACTTTCACTTGCCGCTCTACTTTGAATAGAAATTATTTTCTGACTATTATTTCCGAAGAATCATTTTCGACCTGGATAAGTATTTTTATTTTTTTCACCAGTTTCCATTTTTCATATTCTTTCAAATTTCATACTTAGCCATTTTTAATAGCTACTGTTAAGAGAATTAATTTTTTAAATAAACCATATTAAAGGTACTTTGGGCATTTTAAGCGCTGTAAAGTGACATCAATGGGGATAAGACCTAAATGATAATTTTTTAATTACTTAATTATATAATGATATACCGAGTTTAATCAAAATCGTTGGAGCCGTTTTTGAAAAAATTAGAAAAATGTATTTCACCGTTGATATAAAGTTGCACTTCCGGTCAGCCGATTTTAAGGGAAAAGTTGCTGTGACATCTAAGGCGCAAACCTATCTTAAATACGTAATATCAGTTTCGTACGACTTTTCGTTTTTGAGCTAGACTGTTCACATAGGAGTCTCATACATACTCACACAGTACACATACATACAGACACAGAGACCAATTTGGGGGACTTGGTTATTTGGACTCAGAGGACCTCAAAACGTGCATCGCTGTTGAAAACTCAGATTAAAAAATTTTAAGATCGTAATACTTTCCCCTTTCTATATGATAGGTAAGTGAAAGTAACATGGACCAATGAAAAGCAAATTATTCTACTATTTTGGTGGAACCTCAGACTGAAAGTCCACTTCCAACTCTCCCTCCCCCAGGTAGGTGCCAGTGTTGCACAGTAACCATTCCATATGTTATTCTATAGGACCACTATGCCTCAAAACAAAAAATGTTGTCCCTAAAACAAATGCCTTTTTTTTCTATCACTTCATATTAATGCTTAAAAACTTTTTTTTTATATAGTAGATATTTATTTATTCAGTCAAGTATAAACATACCTTTGAAAAAACTTTTAATTGACTCTGATTTCAAACATAAATTGTGTTTTATTTGGTGAAAACTATTTAACTAATCCAAAATCATAAAAATTTATCAAATTAAAGTTTATTTTTTAATTATATTCCTTAATAACAGTTCTAATTAAATATTTTCCTAACAAAAAGTACTACATGTGATTGAGGAAATAAAATAATAAATTTAATATTCCGGAAGCAGGCATGCAAAATGATGATAGCTACATATCTCAGTAAGACTTGGTACTTTTTGCCTTATAACTTACGAGTAAACACTTAATAAACTGCTTGGCTTGTATTTATATTCTATCTACTAATCAATTCTTATTAATAATGATTCGTTTTATAGTCGTCTGGTGGACGATTGCGAGAGAGCGAAGAGAGCTTGGAAACTGTGATGAAGAGAAGAAGACCATCCTTCATGCCTGCAAGGCCACTTGCCACGGCCACCAGGCTCATCAACCAGCACCTATTTGGCCTTCAGGCACTCGGGGGTAGGAGTAAGTGATTCAAATTCCTTTCAAATAAATATTAAAAATATAGGATAGAAGTATCTTATTTATGCTGCTAATATATCAAGCAAATGCAAGTTTGGGAGTGGTGCTGTAACTAAACAAGCCCTCTCTCTGTAAGTTCACTGTTTATTTGCCTGCCCTTCTTGGTTGAACACACTCCATAATGCATATAATGCTCACTTCCCCAAAGAGTTTAGATATCGCCCTGTTCCAACCAATCTCAACAGGTCCAAGTATGTACACCACAAAATCATTCTTTTGAAAATAAGAAGCTCTTTCACTTCTGAACTAGTCAGGATCCATTATCTCTTAAGCATAGGTTAGTACCAGCCGTATCAGTGTTTTATAAAGATAGCATGGTATGAGAAGACAGCCTTCTCAGTCTAAAATTGCAACAATTGGCCTTCCATTTTCGTTGGCAATAGGAAATCATATTTGAACTACTGAGCCTAGTACGTAAACTGGTCGACAATTTTGAATGTGGATGATCGAATTGTACATAATTCCTTGATAGAGTTAGCTATTTCCAGAGCCCAATAATCATTGTAGTGGGCTGTAGGGGTTCCTTGAACATAGAAGGATTTCTGTCAGAGGATTCATTAGAGGGAAACATATTGTGAAACAGTCTTTGGATGAAAGTTATTGTAGTTTTTTTTTGCAGTGTCTAAAATTGTTGGTACGTTTGAATCTTTATGTAGAATATCATTTGCGACACAAAATGGTGCGTCAACTATCCTTCGCGACAATTTCGGCGAGAAGGATTTAATTTTTTTAATGTTGGAAGTTTTAACAAGAACCCCACATTTCTATGCCTTAAGTCCAAATTGGTTTAAGTAAAACTTTATAAAGGGATTTTTTTTTTTTTTTTTAAATGTTGGTCCAGGGCACGTCGACCCCTAATGGGTCCATTGTGCGCCAATTTCAGTTAATCATTTTAATCAAAACATTATTTTAGTCGCTTCCACGTATCTTAGTAGGCTGGTTGGATTGACCGTCTCATATCTACTGGAGAGATCCACTCGTTCCTCCCCAAATACTGCCGTCTCAGCCTTGTGAATCTATCATATCTACACACGATGTGAAAGGCTGTATCATTCTCCTCCTGACAGAATCTGCATAGCGGATTCGTCATTACTCAGAGATTGAACATATGGTAATTTAGCTTACAGTGACCTGTATAGATTGCTGTAAGCTTTTTAAGGGCTTCTCTGTCCATACTCAGTAGCAGTTTTCTTCTTATAAAGGGTTAGTTTGTTAGTTAAAGATAATTTTGAATGTCTGCCAAGTAATCTGGATAAAAAACCATATATTCTGATTAAGTCTATTCATTTTTGTCTAATGTGAGTTTTCTAAGTAATTCTTTTGTCCAGCTAAAAACCTAAATATCTAATTACATCTGATTTTGGAATTTTAATGTTATTAAAATATATTTTGGGGGAAGGTGTATGGTTAAGAGTGAATACTAAATACACACTTTTTTTTCATTCATTTTCATTTTCCACCTTGTGGCCCAATCAGCAATATTGCTCAGATGATTTTGAAAAGTGGTATATACTCGAACAGAGTTTTTATCTGAGCTGAGGATGCCGCATCATCTGCAAAAGTAGCTGGTAGAGTGTCATTGTGTTCCAGCAGGCAAGACATATATATATATATATCATATATATATATATATATATATATATATATATATATATATATATATATACATTAAACAATATTGGTCCAAGGACACTACCCTGAGGAAATGGAATTTATTGGAGGAAATTCAACTGTTCATTTATTGGAAGTCTCATGGAAAAAGAAAAGTAAATTCTATTATAGGATGTTTGGTACCCTAAGTAAATAAATGTCCGTTTCTTTGCATATTCGCACAGTTAAGCAACGGTGAAATAACCATAGAATAAGATTGGCAACACTAACAGATTTAAAAAAAACCAAAAAGTTATTATTATATGATAATGAGCAGCTGCACTAGAAACTTATACTTGTTTTCTCATTCAAACACATGAAACCGAAATATAACCATTTTTATTTTTAAATATAATTTTGATTAAAAATAACAAGTTCATTCATAAGTTTCAAAAGCCGAAATCTATCAAACATTTAACTATACATAGATGTCATACACATTTTATTAGAAAGTTTGTATTTATAATTTATCCTGTTCCATGATTATTATTATCATTAAACCATTATTGATAACTTGTAAAATCAATTTAAACTTTTGAAAACAATATACTTACAGGTAAAAATGGAGAGAGCCGTTCCTCCCTGTCCGTGGACTCAATAGACTCGAGGATCTGCCAGACACCAGAAGCCCATCGGAGGTCAAAGTCAATTCTGAAGAAAGTAGATTCTGCTCCTAACCCAAGGCGGGATCCAGAGACTGAAAAACTCATCTCAGATAATGTTTCTGCAGCTGGTTCTGACTACTCTCCAGGTATATTTACCCATCTGAAAAAATAATAACTATAAAGTATGAAAATCTTAATAAGAAACATATTGACAAATAACATTTTCTAAATATTCCTATAGGTAAAAGTCCCTTAGGTGGAATTGTTAAAACAAGAAACAGCCTTAAATTTGCTGTTAGTGGTGACTTAAGTCCACCACTCTACATCTGTCCACCTCCTCCACCTATGGAGACCTCTCCTACTGAAGAGACACGTCTTCTTGGCTCAGCAAGGATTTCTTCTTCTTAGCAGTCCTCTATAGCCATGAGGGTAAGTAGTCATTAGATGAAAATGAGTAAAATTATTACTAAGGCACAATCCTGAAATTTCCAAAAACGAATACTTGTTTTCTTAGGATAAGTAACTCTTTGAGTAAAATTATTACATAGAAATGATATTTCTTTTCAAATAAAAAAGAATTATCAAACTTTTTACCATTTCCTAGATCCCATTCCTAAAGTTATAGTTACAAATCAGAAACCTATTATAATTAAACCATAATTCAATGTCCTAAATAAATATTCATTTTTCAACCTCTCCATAATAATTGACAGTGAGAAATATATTTATTAAATAACCATATTTGATTTACAGATATCGGCCTGCTCAAGGTGAGACGACAATTATGTGATGGACAATTGTAACTCCTTGTAATTGATGTGTATATTAATAACAGCGAAGACACTGCTTTACCCAACGAACCGCCCCTTCCCCATTGTATAAGATTAATATTTTAATACTAGATATTAAGGTTGCTCAAGCACTCGAGCGGAATTATTAAAATGGTTATACTGGAATGTATGAGAGTGCGAATGTTGTGTACATACATGTATATACTTATATTCATAAGTATTAAATAAATGATTATTTAATTTTTAATGTATAGAGCAGAAATATTAGGCAGTTATTAAATTTAATAAGATTTTTTAAAGAGAAAACTGCCTACTTCAAGCTCTGATAAAAAAACAAAATAATAAATTTTCATATAATTAATTCTGGACCAGTTAAACCTAACAGTAATAAGCAAAACTATAAGGCTCATTTTTTTTTAAAAAGAGCTTCTAATCAATTCATTTCGAAAACATGATATTTTATTTTTACTGATTTTTAACCAAAATGTAGTTCAATATGCTCGTTTAAAAGCTCTTACAATCTGCATTGCATTAATAGAACTAGTTACTGGTCCAGAATTACAAATGTCATTTTTTATATGATGAAAAATTAATTAGAAAAACGAATGGCAATAGTTATATGGTTGAAAAGCAATTACATATCGAAATAGAAACCAAAGTATTATTTAATTTGTGAATGTTTGTAATGTATATAAACATAGTTATTACAAAAACTGACATCAATATTCAGGATTATATTCAAATTTACATACAAATAGATTTAAGAAATTCTTATGTTATTACGTTACATTGGCAAGAGCCTTCCAAATGTATATTACAATGGGTCAAAATACATATACATTCTTGTAAATCCTTGGCATATGTTTCATTGAGTTATTACACAAATATAAGTTTAATTTTCAATTAGACCTCTTCAACTAAATTTTTATATCATCAATTTAAAATTATTATTACAATTTTTGATAGTAAAAATAGCTTTAATGCTTTTCTTTCTAAGTAATGGGATTACTTTATATTTCCTTATAAAACAATGCCAAGGTAACTCCATTTTTAGGAGATAATATATTCAGTCAATCATTAGACATAACTAAAACTGCATTTCATGGATTATATTATATAAAAATCAATGTCAGTTCCATACAGTAAAAATTAGCTATCCGTATATGTAAAGTTATGTTTCCATTTATAAATGAAATCCAGGTATTATGTATGACTGTGTAAGATAATATTACCAATAAGGAATTTATACTTACACACTTATACAACATGAATGAGTGTGAAAAGAACCGAGAACAATCTTAAATTTTTTATTGGTCACAAAATGGCAAAGGCCTATTCGAGCTCTTATAAACACGCTTTAGTTGGAGCCACACTCACTGTCCTGGTTCAAGAATACAGTAGCATAGAAAGGCTGTTGAGTGTCGACCAACTGTGCTTATCGAAATATAAAATTAAAGTATATATATAAATAAAAGCTTATTCTTGTCGCAAGGGAATTATCAGTTTTATTTTTTTAATAAATGGCATATAAAAAAATTGAGAATCATCAAATGGTTCTCGTTCATTAATAAACTTGTTACAGAATAATTTACAAATATATATAATTGTATATGACAAATAAATCATTTTTGTTCTTCTGTTTTATTTCTTTAATGAATTATCTACTTAACTCAAATGAAGAATAGAAAAATGAAGAGAGATTCCAGCCAATAAAATAAACTTATTAAAATATCAATACCCAACCTATTTCATAATTACATACCTAAAAGAATAAAATGATCTAAAAACTATCAACCATAAAAATTAAACAAACAAAATTTAATCAAAATCTAGAGTAAAAATACATTACCCCATCAAATTACATTAAGGTTTATACATAGATCGAAATGAACTATTATAATTTTAAATTTTAAAAAAATATAGAGGTCTTCCGCCATAATCAAAAAATAAAAGTCTATTGATGATAGTTCATGTCTTTACAGAAAAGAACTAGATAAATGAAGGTACCAGATCAAGATCTATTAGTTCAATCATTACATTTCATAGCGAGTGCTAAAACACAATATAAATATACAAACCTAATAAAATAATTATTCTATTTTACTTGAATAACAACGGTATAAAAATTAAATAGGAATTCTGAAATGTGGACTGGTAACATGTTAGCCACCACATCTTTTCTTTGCAACAAAATAAAATCGAACAGAACTTTAGATACAATTAATACTCTAATTTTAATATATTTATTTAGACAAAATTAAAAGAATAAAGTATTTTAAATTTTTTATACAAAGAATATACATATACAAAGAGTATACAAGAATATACAAAGAGTATACATTATTAAGTTAGATCGATTTATCAAGTGTGTCAATTTTTTAAAAATAAAGGTGCGTTCAGACATTTCACAAAAACTACATGGAAACACAATTATCTAACTTAAATCAGGGTTCTCAAAACATTTTGGCCTGGGGCCACGTCCAGTCCTCCAATTCTCGCGGGTCGCATTGAGACACCAATATCCCGCGGGCTTGTGATGAAAAAAAAATCTTGTTCTATAAATGACACTTCATTTGTGAAATTATTTTTGCGATAAAACAAAAAACATGCAATTAACCTATTGTGTAGTTAATTTGATATATTTCACATTTTTTTTAAATTTTAGCATGTAATCAAAGAAACTTTCGCGGGCCGTAGTTTGGAGAGCCCTCATTTAATTGATAGTGGCTTTTGCGCTAAGCACCACTTTTTTAAAAATTTCTCTTGTTACCGATAGCAGGAGAAAAACATAAAAAACAACAGCATAGGAAAATAATATATATTTAAATATTTGTGTTTCCCATAGTCTGTAAAATGTCTAAATGCACCTTTATTGCAATTATCAAATATGTGACTTCAATGTAGTTATTTGTAACAACTTCAAAAAATGTTTCTTCGGAATAATATCCATGTTTTGAGAAACAAAACATACTGCAGTATTTTCGTCAAGTCCCGAATTCAGCTGGAGGATATAAGGTCGTAAAAAGTCAGCAATAGTGCAACTTGAAATACCGTAACCTTAATTATCCATCATTAGAAGTTGAAGAAAGCAGCATTGCGAACTGTAAATTAAGATTTTCAATGCGATAAATTTGTTCAAATATACACCGTGGCCGGAACAACAAACACGAAAAGGGAGCAACTTGTCCCTTGTGGAAGAATTAAGCTTGTCTCCCATCTAGCTAAATTTCAAGTTCTGGTCCGGATCTATACATCCAGGATCGATATGAACAGGACCATCTTTAAACTTTAATATTTTCCATGGACTTTTTCCTGTGAAGCTTCATAAGAAATAATTAAAAAATGTTGGTCATCCAAATTTTTGGGGACTTAAGCTGTAATTTTAAGTCTCCTCCATAGCTCTAAAATTGATTGTATTAGAACCAAAGGTGAGTTATTAAGAATATCTTCCTGAGAAATGTTTGGTACCCTAAAATTCTTGTGGATTCCTAATCGCGTAAAGATAAGCGGAAATAAAACCATGAGCAATAAAGAAAATTAGTAAAACCCCTCCCACAAATACTGTCCATCCTTTGCAGTTGGTGGGTGCAGCTTAATGTGTACCATAAAGTGGCGTTTACATGAACTGCAATGTGTGGTTGCAACAGAATTGCTGTTAATGAAACTATTTCATGTGATTGACCATACCCTTTGTCTTAGTCAATGATTCATGCTCACACACTTTTATCCCTCTTCTCCTACCTGCCTTCCACATACTTCAATAATGTATTTCTATCTTTTAAATAAGTTATTCAATTTTCATGTTGTTTAGTTAAAATTTATTTCTTAGCGGCCCTGACAGAAATGAATCTTGACACTCTCAGTATAGTTAGTATATAGTGATAATCTCTCAGACAGATCTTTTGCCAACTTTCGTTTTGATCTACTTCCACAGTGTAATAGGGAGTAGGAAAGTGATAAGACTTGTGGTTTGGCACTAGAGAAATCAAGAAAAGCACAGAAATAATTCAAATGAATCATTTGAGTAGTGGAAAGTAGAGGTTTCTCATTTCAATTGAGAAATAAGATGAGCAATTGTAAAGAGCTCTTGATTTGAATAAAATAGCAGAATTTTTTCACTCAAAGAAAAGTGCAGAGCTTAAATAGAGATTGCAGTAGTTAATGAATATTGTAGAGGGGTAAAGGGTAATGTTGTGATCATATATTATATTTAAATGAAAATCTAGGGCTCCACTAAACCATCAAATTCCTCTTGTATCCAATACTTACAATCCAAAATCCCTCATAAAATCCTCAATGCTCCTTACTTCGTCACAAATAAAATAATTCATAAAGACCTTAATGTTCCATATGTTTCAGATTTGGCCCAATCCAGATACCTATCCTTCCATAATAAACTTCATAACCATCCGAATCCTTTTGTTTCTAACTTTGCTTCCTCTTCGATTCCTGATAACCCTCCGAGGCGTCTGAAAAGAAGACGGCCTCGTGATCTCCTCATGTAGACATATTATTAGAGTTATACCAATGGGTAGTTTCTCAACAAGCATTTTCAAGTGATTATATTCCTCTGCACACATTTGCTTGATGTATTTATACTAATACAGTTGTAAATATCACAATAAAAAAAAAAAAGAAATGAAAATCTGTGTTTTTGTTTAATGTATACCAACTTAGTTAATTCTTATGCTTAGGTAATATTATTGAGGTGGGGGGTAGGAAATGTACAAGTCTGAGTGCATTGAATTAGAATAAGGAGTGAGAGGAGGGAGCCTTCCGACTTATTTATGCCACTATATTCAGGGCTCGTATTCGAGTAATATAGTATACTTGGTTCCCAGAGTAGTTTTTGCCCATCTCTGAAATTGAATCATACAATTATAATGTTTTTAATATTCGATAATTACAAAATTTTCTTCATAAAAACCTTACAAAAATCACACAAAGAAATATATGTGGGGGAATTCATCCTATCGGACAAATTTTCTAATATAAAATTACCAAATATGTCACTTTAAAACAGTATCGTAAATATCTTACAAACTTCTTCAAATAATTCTCCTCCATCATGGAATTCACTTTTTTCCTCGGACAAACTCAATTTTTATGAGAAGACTCAAGCTAAGATATAGCTTGGTAATATAAAATGATGGAAAGAAGTAGGATTCGGGAGCGTTGGTAAATTGAAAATTGAAAGCAGTTTTATCTCAACTGCCTATTTGTGAGGTAGTGATATAAAAAGTGAGTGATGACTAATTAACTAAAGTAAACTAATTTAGTCTTGCCATTATGGATATCGGTAGTAATAAATAAAATGAAAATGAATTTATAGGAGAATCAAACACATTTTATGTAAATTAATTCAAGAAACACATTTGGTTAAACTTCATAGGAACAAACTCGTAAGTAATACATGAGTTTAGACAATAAATTTATTTTCTTTTGGAATAGATATCACTATCCTGTTGTCTTTATAAACTCTTCAAATTACATAATCTTAACAAAGCAAAAATAAAAAGAGAACAATAAAAACTTACCAATTTCATTAGAATATCTTGCATAATATACAATTCAAATTTGTTTTTTTAATATTAAACAAATGATGTATCCTACAAATTTGTTTTCCTATAGCTGTTTAAATTACTTTGTCTTCCATTCTAGTCTTCAATGTTTGGAAAACACAACTTTCAAACCTAATGTTGTAGTCACATGTGATAAACTACGTCAGAAGCACGGAATATCAGAGTTCCTGGATGCGTTGAAACTCTAGCTGTCACTCTGTATGTAAACATTCACTGCTGTATTCATCTCTGTGCTCTAAAGAATCCCTGGGTAAAGCACTTTGTCAAGCTGCTGGTCAGATTTAGCCAGGTCTCAGAATTGTGAGTTCATCTCTCAAGGATTGATCGAACTTTACCTATCACTTTCTGACCAGGACTTGTTTTTATTTTAGCGGAATTTCGTAATTTACAAAATGTGGTCAGGATTTGATAGATGCTTTTCCACTCTACCTGACCATTTCTGGCATAGGACTAGCTACAAATCTATCTAGCCAGAATGGGATCGAGATTCATTCTGTGGTCTGCCACCAATTAAATTTCAATCCATCCAATTCAGATCCTAAGCTACATTAAACTCAATGTTGCTAAACACTCTTGGCCATCATGGTCTCCTGATGCTTACCTGAAGACCTATCTGAAGACCCAAGTTTGGACAGTGGCTTACTCTGGCTGGTTATGGCAACTTAGCAATATGGGGGCATATAGCAGATTTATTTTTGAGGCCCTATAAAAAAAAAACTGACTACTTATTTATAAATAAAAATGTCTGATTAAATTTAAATATTGCTGTTTTTTTAATAAAGTTATTATTCAATTAAAAAAAAATAAAGAAACCTAAAGTGTGTCTCCCTTAGTAACTTAGCCCTGGGACAGATTATCCCCCTTCCTTTCCCTAGGTACATCACCACTGGCAGGATGAAGATAGCTTGGAAGAAGTTCATATCTCTTTATGGGCATTAGCAAATTACTCTAACGCCAAGTGAGGATGATGGAAGAATCATATTGTGGATAGAAATAAATTTATTTACAAAAGGAAAATCAGAATAGTTAATCCTTCAATGAATAAATATTAAGTAGATAAAAAATATTGTTTGAGCAATATATTTCCCTTTATTAATGACAAAAAAATAATTTTATTTTCCAAAAGGTTTCTGAAAAACAAAGATAGAAACAATGGATGATAAATACAGAATCAAGGAATGCAATAATGAAGCTACTATAACCCATATGACATCAACATAGTTTGTGTAGTTACAAAAAATGAAACTGCCATTCGTGAGCTTTATCACAATGTTGAAATACTGTGTGTATGTGTGAGAGAGAGTAAAAATATATTGCAAAAATATCATAAATTGTTTCATGATACAGTAAAAGGAAAATTATTTGATGTCTAATCTAAAACACAATTACAAATAGGAAGAGGTTTTGAAAAAACTTAATATATTTAATTAATAATCACGATTTTCACTAACTAATACATATAAAATCCTAAAATGGCAACTGAATGACATAGATAAATTGGGTAATAATATTATTTGGCAGAGTAAATTATTTATGATTTTATATTTATATAATAAATTATTTGCCTTTTGACAAAGTGGCTCATTGGTGGGATCATTATTCTATATCAGGGGTCTCCAAACTTTTTGTGGGTGGGCTATATTAAGTCTAACGGGCCATAGCTTGTGATGACAATAAAAAACTTATATATATCATAGTCTGTTAAATTAGGTTACTAACCGAAACAACTCATACAATAGATATTGCAATAACCACATGTTCGAGTGATTTACTAAATTCCAAACTTTTTAAACAGTTTTTAAAATTTTACCATGTAATCAAAGAAACTTTCATCTTTTGGCATACTATAGGCCTTCATGACTGCAGTGCATTTTGCCATGAAAGGAAAAAAAAAACTTTTGTCAGCCGGATTTTAGCTACTGGCCGGATCCACAGGCCGTAATTTGGAGATCCCTGTTCTACATGAATCACTAATATTGTAAGCAATATTACTTTTTACGAATAAATACATTTAATTCAATCATATCAACCACAAAACTAGTATAACACTATAACAAACATAACTGTACAGATATTTAGTTAACTAAATAAAAAAAAAATGTTAACTTGTAAAATAAAAACATGGTATTTTTCACAGCCAAAGAAGTAAAAAGAAAAAATAATATGCATAGTTTTATATAGAAAAAAAAAAAGATTAAGAAGCTATTCTCATTTTTAATTATTTTTTCCAGTTACTTTTCTAATCACTACTAAATACATTTATTCTAATCACTAGCTAAATACATTTATTCAACTAAATCAAATTTTTATCTATAAATACTTTTTCCATCCTTTAATGAAGTATCATTTTTAATATGGATTTTATTCAACCATATTGGCATGTGTCTTATGAACTTCAAGCAGTGTAGTAATAAGACAGTTTAATAATAGGCAAAACAAAACATGGAAAGAAGAATGGATACTAATAAAAATCAAATTGAAACTGAAGTTCAACAATTTCAAAATGATTTAGAAGACCCGAATCTAGTAATTGAAGGATCGGAGATAGCCTTTCGTTTGTCACAAGTGAAGGAAATGGTAATTGCGAATCTCTGACCAGATAGCACTTTTTCAACACGATGAATATTTTCACCCCCAGAACTGAACATTAATACTCGAGCTGAAAAAGCAACATATAGTAAATTAGTAATAACAAGTATTTTTAAGAGCTATGGAGAAGTAATGAGTTAATACAATTTAGAAGATACATATTAATAAAAGAACCTGGATTATTCTTGAATTCCTTATAAACATTAAAGATCCAGTACAGAAAATAAATAACAGGAAGATAATTAGGCTAAGTTAAATATTTGTAGTTAAACCTTAATGTTACCTGTTTTTGGTTCAATAATAGAAGTGTGATTATCAGGATCATCAAAAACAAACCTTCCTCCTTCAAAATCGATTCCAAAATCGTTTAAGTAAATCAGAGAAGTATAATGAAAAGATTCATATGTTTCCTGTAATAGGTTGAGATTTTTAATAACAGAAACTGTAATATTAATAAGAATAAATATTAAAACGTAATAATAATAAAATAAAACAATGAACAGTAAAATTTCTCTTTAAGTATTCCATTACATGCAGTGATTAGTTAGTGATTAGAGAACAGTAACACTGTTGAATAGAAATATGTTAACTTTTTAAAAATCTAAATGATACGTCATTAAAAGTTTCTTATGAAGAAAAGTGGATACATTGAAGAAAACTTAACGCTGAGAAACAATGGTTAGACTTCAATCACCCTTCTGTCTGTCCCGGTCGCTAAGCAAGAGAAATTTGAAAAACAGACAATCTCTGTATATTGTTAAATTATGAAGTATATTTTTGATGCATGATGCAATATAAATTTATTCCAGAAGTTTGAAACATTGATCCAAAACTTTATAGTGATCAGTTATGATTCTGTGTTATCAACGATTAATAATCAGAAAACAGGAAATCAATAATAAAGCTTGATTATAAAATTATAAGATAATGGCCAACCACTCTCTTCTCGTTACACGAAACAAAAAATGAAGTTGAGCCAATTTTATTAGAAAATTACAAATCATGCGGAAAAATATATACCAGAATGAGGTAAATACTTGGTTTCCTCTAAAAAATATATCACAACTGTCATAGGCGCAGAATTTTCGTTCTGGTTGGGCGGGGTGATGGAACCCCCTCCCCACTCTTCTTCCACTCCCTCGTCTACCTCTCACCCACCAAAAAAAAGTATAGGGAGTTTATATTATGTATAAAAATTATGAATGATTATTAACATAATCCATATAATTATTGTAAAACGAACAATATATTACTACATATAAAAATAAATTTACATATATGTTTTTATTTATTTTTTACTTTCCTATCTGTTTTTGTGCATGGGTATATTTGAAAGTATGTTATCCAAGAAATTGAATATATTACATATTTTTATTTTTATTGAAAGGTTTGAGGCAGCCAGATGAACTTTCAATACTCTGAAGCTCAAATTTTCAGCAGGAAACGTGATAAAAATCTTAAAAAATGGAAAAGATTCAAATGAATAAAACAAAAAATTCTCAGACATAATGCTAAATAAAATTATCTTTGAATATAAACTAAATTTTCAATAAAGGAACATAGAGCGCCGTAAAATACTTGCATACCTACTTCTAGGTCTTAGCTTAGCCATCTGGTCGACTTTTTCTATTTTCTTAATTTATTTTAGTTTATATATTTCATTCATTCATGTAGATTAATTGTTATTAATTTTGATTTTATTTTTGTTCTTCGAAATATTGGAGAGACGAAACTATATTTTCGCCCCCTCTCTATTTTTATTGAGGTGGTCATCGCACCCTTCCTGCTCTCTCCGAAGTCTGCGCCTATAACAACTGTTAGTGTAAAAGGTCGTATGTAACTTTTTTACATGTTTATTCTCTTTGCGCAACAGGTTACATTTTGTAGTCTGCAACTGCTATGATTCTGATAGACAGGAAAATAGTAGAGAGAAATAAAATGTGAAATTATATTAATAAACCATAAAGAAATAATCTGTTTTTATTTCTCTCTTTTATAAAAAATCTCATTTTTTACATAGGACATTTTGTACTAACAGTAGCAACATTTTTCTTACTTTATCAACATGTGAATGCCAATATTCATCATGAACAGTTGCTGGAGGTTTTGCTGTTAGCCGAGAGAAAAATGTAGGCTTTGTCAGAAAGAGTTTTTCACTTGGTAAATCAAAGCTAAAAGCCAATGCCTCATGAACTTTCCTTCTCACGGTTCTAAAAATTATAAAAAACAAATTGATAAGAAATAATAATAAAGAAAAGATCAGTTTATACTTCCACCATTATTTGTTAAATCAAATAGATTCATTTTGATTATTAAATATAAACACTTTTATTTAGTTTCACAACAATCAATCAAATCTTGTAATAAAATTTTACTATACTTCAGGCGATCTCGTCAAGCTAAAGTTTGAAGCATACACATAATTCACAGGACAATGCAATGTTAAAATATCATAAAAATAGATCAGCACTGTAGAAGGATACTGTTGGTTTCGGTGAAAAAACTTAACTTAGATCACTGCTTATGATTTTTTAGAGGAGTAATGTAGTAGTCAATATCAATAAGTGGTAAGATCATCAGTTCTGTACAAAAGCACAACTGATTTTGACAAAATTTGGCACAAAGCTGCCATTTAAGCCTTCTTACTAGTTCTTAGATTTAGTATCTAATATCTCATAAATGATGGTATCATTAGCTCTGCAAGTGGCTGACTTTGATGAATCTTTGGTTTTTTGGGGAAGAAAGTTTTGAGGCTATTTTGGCAACAAATATTAAAAATTGTTGGAAAAATGTTTACTTTAATATTTGAAAACCTAAAAAACAAAAAAAAAAAAAAAACATTCCAAGAAATAGGGAAAAAAGAAAACAACAGAGAAATTAGTGTTTGCATGTTTTGGGAGTGAGGGGACCCTAAAAAGTATAAATTAAGTTAACTCAGTTTATTTATTTTTTCAACCTTATCAATCACCATAATTTCACATTAAATAATTAAGAAAGTAAATGAAATGAGGAAAAAATTATCATAAAAGTTACTTCATAATAACAAAATTGCAAAGGATCATGAAAAGTTATTAGCTTATTTATTGATTTTTTTTTTCTTGTTGCAAACAGTAAACTTGAATATATCATTGAAAACATTATAGAAAAATGAAAATTTATGAAGATCAAATTCTTACTTATAAAGATCAAAATCTTCATTGCTGTAAAGTCCAGAAACATTGAGAGCGTATAAATTTACAAAGTTCTTTCCAGCAGATAGGGCTCCAGAATGTAAGTCAAGAATTGATGCACCACCAGCCGGTTCACCAGTAAGACTTAATCCTTTTCTTGCAATTTCAGCAAGTTTCTTGGCTTCTTGGACATTTACAATCGAATCCATCACAATGCGACCACATCGAACTTTTTCATTTTCTCCTGTGAATTTTTTTAGATTTTAAAACAAAAATAACACATTTTTAAAAATAACTCATAACTTTTAAGAAACAAGTTCTTTTTTTTAGCATTAGAATTTTCCATACAGCCAGCATTATTATTTAGTTGTGTTCCTATTCTTTACTATTTCCATTTTAACTATATCTATTTATTTAATACAACTATTGCATGACATTGATAATTTCCTCTGGGTTGGTTGATGTTAATAATGTTTTATATAGATTGTCATCATTGTATGGACTTAGAAATATCCCTCTCTGATTTTTGTAAGCAGAACCTTCCATAATGATACGCTGGAGTGATTCTTTTTGGTCACATTTATCACTTAATTTATATCTTATAATGAGTAAATAATAATAAAGAATATAAAAAATAATGAAGATACTCAAGCATTTAAAAGAATAAGACATTTATCATATTTGTTAATGGACAAAATGAAAATGATTATCACTGAATCACAAAGAAAGTCCTCTAAACTCTAATACTTAAACCAAACTGAAATACAGTAAGTTATGAAACTAGTAGCAGTAAAGATAAATATAATAGAGGAAGGAGATGGTCCGGAGTGGCGGTCATAAATAGGCTAAATAGTGGTAAAACTATTTTTATTAAAAGCCGATGTTTCGACCCAACTTCGCAGGTCTTCTTCAGGGCTAGAACGGACAAGATACAAAAAGATATAAAATTGTGGCAGGTACATAATACTTAGACAAAATGTATAAACAATGTAAATAAGCTTATTGAAATTATAAACAGTAAGTACATTAAAATATGAACAAAGTAAGCTAAGTAACAAGGTCCTAAAATGAAGTAAATAGATGTTAACAATTGTTGTAGTGTGATATATAATAAATGTAAATGTGAATATACTTTTACAGATCTGCAGGAGAGATTGAAAAAATAGGGAAAATGATGTGAAATATTTATGTCTATTATTTCATATTATATCCTTTTTCCCTTTTCTTTCAATCTCTCCTGTAGATCTGTAGAAGTATATTCACATTTACATTTATTATATATCACACTACAGCAATTGTTAACATCTATTTACTTCAGTTTAGGATCTTGTTACTTAGCTTACTTTGTTCATATTTTAATGTACTTACTGTTTATAATTTCAATAAGCTTATTCACATTGTTTATAAATTTTGTCTAAGTATTATGTAACTGCCACAATTCTGTATCTTTTTATATCTTGTCTGTTCTAGCCCTGAAGAAGACCAGCAAAGTCGGGTCGAAATGCCGGCTTTTAATAAAAATAGTTTTACCACTATTTAGCCTATTTATGACCGCCACCCCAGACTATCTCCTTCCTTTATAATGCAACGGTCAACTATTAAATATTCAAATAAATATAATAGGTGTTGATATAACATGTTTGAACATTTTGTATTTTACAAAGTAACAAATAAAAAAAAGGAACACACAGCTAAATAAATATATTTATAAAACTTATTCATTCCTTAAAAATATCTTTCAAAGAAGATATACTATCAAAAGTTTTTAGAGCACCAATGTATGGATGAAAAAAATTAAATGCAGTCAAGGCTTAGAATTTAAAACTTGAGAATTAACAAAATATTAGATCAAATAATTTATAATGATATGAGTGGCCTCATATGAAAGAAGGGCAGCTGCCACCATAGTTAAGTTCATATGTCATCTGCATTTAAAAGTGGACTGTTCATAAAGAATGTTTCCCAACAAAACTGCCGAACTGAATAATATAGATATTTAATTCCTCATCTGGGAGTAGCATGTCAAGCTGGATTTATAATATTGTTCATTATGAAGGGTGCCGTAATATGAAATTTTATGAGAGAAGGATGTGATGTTTGCATATTGCAGTTTGCGGTTTATCAATTTCCTTAACTCACTTTCAAACATTATTTTCTTAATCAATACAACTTAACTTTAAAATATATAACAATAAACGAAACAACTAATTACATAGAAACTGCTGAGTCTCTTCAAATTATCTATAAATAAGTCTACAAAGTTTTTTATAAATTCTAATAAGAAAATATAAACATATATCAATTGTACCTAGTAAATTAGTCAGTTCATATAAATATGATTTGTTACATGGTATTTCCTGTCTTCGGTGGTTCAACTTTTCATTCTGTTTTGCAAAAATCACAACTTTTTCATTGTTAGAGGTAAAATACACAACTAACAGAGTTCCAAAAATCAACATCATTCTAGTCCAAAATCTTTGGTAGGGAAATGTTGGCATTGGTCCAAATATTGGTCTAAAACAGAAAAGAAAGTAGATGATAACTACATCTTTTGGGGAAATAATTGACAAATTCTGTCACTACACTTACTCTCTGATGTCTGCATCATTCTCATCTTCAGTTTCACGAGGTGTATTTTCTTCAGGAACCTTTCTTATTCTTTCCCGAAGACCTTCACCAGACATGACTAAAATTACTTAAGTTTTAATTTTCAATTAACTTCAACGATCTCCAAAGAGAGATTGAAAACTGTCAAAACAAAACCTTTAAGGTACTATTTGGCTGGCGCGGTCGACGACAGCGACCGCTATTCCCCCCTGCCAACCGCTGTTGGCGTAGCTATTTCGCTGAAACTGCTCACTGGGGTTGTTATAACCTGCCTATAACCTTCGAACATTTCGCTGTATCTTCGAAGATAAAAAGATGGACATAATATAAGAATAAAAATGAACTTCCTATAATAATGAACATCTCTGACTACCGCTTTTTTATTTGAGTTGGAAAAAGAAGAGAAAATGTTGTTCATAAAGAGAAGGAATATCAGTATTTCGATGTGATGCTCATCATCAAAGTTCCTCTGATATTACATATTATTAGTTTGAAAAATAATAGTAATTAATACATAATTGGTTAGTAATAAATATCATATATTTGCAATTAAATCTCAGCAAGCGATGTTTTATAATTTTATCAATAGTAATCAGTAAATCACCACTTTAATTAAAAAATACAAATCGTTTTTTCAATGGGTGGATTTTAGTATTTATCTGACGATAAAATTTGTTGGATTCTTTAATTTATGTAATATAGTTTGTATTTCGCTGTAAAATATTTCTGGTGGAATAAATAAATGAATAATCTTGTTACTTCAACCTTAAAAAAATAATTTACTATTGCATTGTTTCAGTTTTAAACAATATTTGTTATAATTTTGCCAGACTTGACAGAAACATAGGAAATAAAATGTATCGAAGTGACTGTTATCATCAAAACAATGCTCTGATATGATAATATAACCTACAACCGCCGAACCGCCAACAGCTCCACTGCTTCAAGAGGAGTCCGATACGAGCAGCTTAGATATGACGTCATACCTAGACTGCCGAGCAGCGCCAGCGAAATAGGTTCCTTTCTATTCCACTAAAGCAGTGGTCAACCGCGAGCAGTCGCGGTCGTGGACCGCGCCAGCGAAATAGTACCTTTACCGGTATGTAACCTTCAAGTAAACTGAAACCTCTTGTTCTATTTGGTTCTTTATTTTATGTTATGATTTGTTAGGAGTACAAAGTCTTTCGAAATTAATTCTTTATTCCATTATATGATTTATATTCCAAGAATACAGTGATATTTGGATATGATTTTTGAACCATTTCTTGAGAATTTGTCAATATTCGCAGATAATGTTTCAATTTTTTACATTATTTGTGCTTTAGTCTCTTTCCTTGCTGTTTGGTTTACTTGGAAGATTGGACCTACAAACAGTAATATTGAAAGAAATGAGGAATCAGTATGGCTTATTTATTTTTTTAAAATAAATTACATAATTTATTTCAAAGCCCCTTATTTTTCATAATTTTTTTAATGTAATAATTTCTAATTTTATGTAATTTAACTTCAAAAGTGTAATTACCACATCCTTTATATTTCTTTAGATAGATTTTCACGAAGATGAAGATGTGCTAGTGATCGGTGATGAATCAAGACAATCAAGTATGGAGGATAGGAAGAATTTGATCAGATCGATGAGAAAATCCTTAACAACTGATGACCGAGCAAAGGAAAATAAGTATGTGAAATCTTTATTATGACATTAAAAATTATTAATGTTGAACTGACTTTTTCTCTTTTTTTGTAGGATTGAAAAACAACAGCTTGGGGACATATTAAGTGTCATGAAAAGAGATGGTAAATTTAGTTCTACTACAATGGAAGAGTTAGAAGAGCAACTAAAACTCTATCGGGAATGATTATTCTAATGAACCTCTGACCTTTAGAGGGTACTGAAAGAAAAGAACTGAATAATGTAAATGAAAATATTTTTTTTTATTTGTGTAATGAAGAACCATTCCTTAAATATTAAAGCAATAAGAACATTGTTTCTGCTAAATATGTAAATTATTATTCTGTTTTCCTTAGAAAACTATAACTGTAATGTTTGTGATATATAGGAAAAATTCTAAATATTATTTATTTTTCAAATATAGTTTATTTTGTATTGAGAAAAAAGTGCCTGATATAAATAAAATATACTGTAAAGATTACAAATTATACTACTTATAATTATAATTATTTACGGAATTGAAAATTCTGAAAGTATTGTTTACAATGAATATCCTACTTCAATCATTAAGGCTGTTTTTGATAAATTTTCAATAAAGCAAATTAAATTTGAAATGAATTCCTGAAATTAAAAAACCCATCACCCAACCTTGAATGTTTATATTTATAAATGCTATTCCTATAATAATTATTTCTTCTTCTTTAATTTCTATGAATATGTGTTGATTTACTTGCTCATTGCCAATTTATGAGGGTGTTATTAACTGCATGTTAATCCTGAAACATTTCTAAGCTTCACCCTTGTTTGTTTAGACCACTGGTTCTCAAATACTAGTTCTGTTGGGATCACTGATCTTCAGTAAATGAATATAATTTGAAATTAGAAATATACCTCTACATTTACTTTACTGCTACCAGCGTTGTAATTGGTTGTACCCAGTTAAAAATGAAATAAAATAAAATAGTAATATTCGAGAAAGTATATTCCTTAATGACTAATTCTATTCAGTGAGGGCTATGAAGTCCACATTTTTAAAAATTTTCTGTTTAGAGACCATCAAGGGATTACATAAACATTGAGACTATATAAATATTTATTTTTCGTTTAACCCACACATTGTTGGAAAAGCCTGTAAACAAGTGTTGATTGTATAAAATGTTAAATGTTTTTACGCTTTCAATGATAACTCCTTGTAAATTCATTCCACAGTAAGATTAAACTTCAATAATTTGTCCATAAGTCCTAAGAGAGATGGTTTTTATATAAGTTATATGAAAAACTAATTACAGTTACTCTCCCAAATTTTTCTTTTCTTAATATGTGTGTGACATTTCAGGCTCCACTTTAGTATCCTAACTTCAGACATGATGAAAGGATGATATATGGTCTGAAGACAGGATATTAAAGTGAATCCTGAAACGTCGCGCACATATTAATAAAATAAAAATTTGGGAGAGTAGCTGTATTTAGTTTTTTATATTAACTTCAATAATTTTTCAGCTCTTTAAATATATCTCAGCAATCCATTACTCACAAATGAGCAAAGTTCTTTGCTTTTATCACATTTACCTCAATATTGCTTGTGCTGGTGAAAGAATGTTTAATTTGACAACTGTTTTTTAGGGTCTGGTTTAGGAGACCATTCTAAGTCTGCTGGGGTCTTAAGATGCATTGATATGTCAGCTTTCACTTTTTCAGATAGTTTCTCTTACTTTGATTAATAGAAAAAATTCTATGGTAGGAAAATTTGTAAACTTTTTAATTATTTATTGCTTCATTCTTTTTTTTCCATTCTAACAATATCTACTTATCGGTAGAGGGCTGAAATTTAGTCCATATAAATGCCACAAAACCTATGTTAAATAAGCTACCTGCTGATCAAAGCCACTTGAAATTGTTGAATTTTTTTATTTCCCTATAAGAAACACCAGAACTTCATCTCTGACCTCCAAAAAATACCTCTTACCCCTGGAGAGCCATTGAATATCACACAAGATCTCTTTTATGTAATGATTCCTGTTCATATCCTAACCGTGACTTGACCTAACTATAAATATAATCTGACAAACAGTTGAATTTATTAATCTGAACAGGTAATGGGTAATAAAAAAGTTACAATAGTTGAAAATAACAAAAAATGTTCAATAAACAGATATTTGAAAACTTTTTTTTTCAACAGCTAGTTGGGATCAACCAATTGGTTAAGAGTGTGACACTCATTTCTAACAAAGGTATAAGAATTCTGCGGAGCTACCACTCAATGAATAAAATAAGGAATCAATCAGAACTGGATAGTTTAAGGGCCTCATGCTCTCATATCCAAATGAACATCCAGCCAGACCTGTAAATTTATATTAAACCTGAAATCAAAATTACAATGTTATTTGAAGAGTCACTCAGGGTAGTATCTGGTTCTAAGGTATATAATTACATCACAATCATGATTTTGATTGGTTATGCCAAAATGAATGAAAATTCAGGTTTATCTTAGGGGCTTGTCAATCCTTAGTTTTCTCTTTGTAATTAATACGTATAACTTATTCAGCCTCTTAATTATGAACCAAAAAAGCTGATGTCCTAATTTACAAATAACGTGATTACTTAAATTAATTAATTAAATAGTTTAAGTCTTGATTAAATCAAAGGTAACTCAAAAGAATTACTATGCAAGGCTACAGTTCTGATTTTCAAAACAATCAGTCCAGGGTAATTAATAATTAAGATTTAAAACAATTGTTTGTTTTCTATGTCAACCTGTAATGATTGTCCCGAAAATCTCCTGATATAATCAACTATTGACCATCTCTAATAAAATGACAAAATTTTATGACTACCTGATAATACTTCAGAAGAACTGGATATAAGTTAAATTATAATTTTATTGTTTGAAAATTTTTTTATTGGTGGTTTAAAATTAATGAATTTACTAGAGATTCATTTATTCATTAGGATGCACTAGTCTGAGTTGATAGATGATATGTTGCATAAATTTCCTTTAAAGTGATGAAATGAAAAATATTACATTATTCTGTGACTGTTGTCCCTTTAGAACAAATTATAAATACAGATTGTATGTCTGTGTGGTTATAATTAGATTATATATTTACAATAAGAGTTGACTAAAAATAAAAATACTGAAGAAGAGAAAGAAAAGAAAAAGAAAATTGTATGTATATATATATGAGAAACTAAAATAACCTAAATAAATTGAGGTAGTCTCTGGGGGTGCTTAGATATTTCTCTTAAGTATATTTCGCAATCAGTCGGATTTTGAAAGGAGTAGGTGTTTAAAGAGAAGACGTTTGACAGGGGAAACTGATTGTGGGTGGGGTGGCTGAATGGGCTAACGAGTGTGCACACTGCTGTTGCCCGGCAACCTGACATATGAGACAACGATGAAAAATAGTTCCGAGTTCGCATCCCGGCGGCAGGGGAGTCTTTTAAATCCCCGCCCACACTCTCTGGCCCGGAAGAACCCCGTATAGCCTTAAAGGCGAGGACCCAGAAAAAAATAAAATAAAATAAAGAGGAAACTGATTGAGTGTGTCGTGTATCAGCAGGGATGGAATTCTAGAGGGAGGCGGCTTGTATTGCAAAGGATTTGTCAAATGTAGCAGTTCGGTGAGGAGGATAGAGGTCAGAAGTACGAGATCTAGTGGGACGGGATTGTATGGAGTATTTGAATTGTAAGCTGTGAAAAATACAGGAGGGTCGATTAGTTCTAATGATTTGGTACAGAAAGTTGGCTAGGAAGTGCTGACGGCGATAGGATGAGTACAGCCACCTCAACTCAGTGTAATACTGGGTAATATGCGTATCCCTTGAAATTCCGAAAACAAATCGTGGTGCGCAATTCATTAGGCATTTAAGTTTGGCTTCGGAATCTCCCGAGAGTCCACCGTACACCATACAGCCATAGTCGAAGTAAGGGAAAACAAGGGGGAAAAACAAGGGAGGAAACTAGGAGTTGACGGGACTTATATGAAAGGAGATATCGTAGACGATTGAACTGTTTTAGGGTGGAGATAGTGTGACAGGAAATTTGGGAGAGATAAATTATAATGAGATAATAATTATACTTTTATAAACCACAAGAAGACAAAGCAATTGTTATCTGTCGAGAGAGTTCATACCCAAATCCATTTTAGGTATTACAAGTGTTAATTAACTATGATTTAAATGTGTTATTCTTAAGCATTTCTTAGAAAATATTAAAACAACCAGAATTCTAAACATTTGAATAAGTTGTTAATAAAAGAAAGAATACAAAGGAAAATTGCAGTTATATTTCATCATTAACTGAATGTTTTGTACTGCACAAATGGAGTACAGACAATCTTAATCAAAGAAAAATATGACTGCTATTTTTATAAAACAAAGATAACTTCTAAATAAAACAATTTATTAAAAATACCATAATAATCTAATCACATAAAAATAACATCTTTTTAACTAAATAAAAAAACTTGAGCAACAAGCAGTTTCTTCAACTGGTTAAATAAACAAAAAAAAAAATTTATACCACAGAAATATATAACTTATATATACAATAATAAAATAAAGATACAACCTAAAGAACAGGAATTGAACAATATATTGGCACATATGATAAAAACTGAAATTAGAGACAGTAATTAATAAACTATTATCACAGATAATTCATAATCCATATTACTTCCCTTCTTGCAATTACTACAACTTTTTCATTAAACAAATAAGCTTTACCCTCACCAAATTCTTTACTGTATAATCCAACTCCTGCATTCATATCAATTATATAGTATTTTTTATTACCCAGACTTGGGACATGGATGAATAAGTATTTACCACAAATACCTTCAAAAATTATACTTTCTGGAAATCTATTTAATGCCAGATTATCTGTAGTAACAGTATGAATCCAATAAGTTATGCCAGATATAGAGTGTATAGCGCTGACCCTATGGTAGCTTTGCCTTTTAACTTCCAATATATATACATTTTCTCCATGCACAACCATCGATGTTTTGCCTTCGACTCTTTTTAATATCCGTCGTTTAGCAGTTTGGGGATCCCACCACTCTATATATGCTTTAGGATTTTTTTTGGCTTTACAGAGCAACGTAAAAGTTTCATCAAAAGCAACATCACATATTTGTGATCTTGTATGTCGTTGATACATTAAATTACCGTAATCAGTCAATATCTTAATATGACCTTTAGACCAAGCTACAACTTTATGACGGTTGTCATGCTTAATGTTGGCATTTTCAAAAACAAATTTTTTAACAGTACCACTTTCAAGATGAATAACATAAATATGATCAACGCTTCTGAACCATGCATAATGACCAGAAATGAAAGAAACAATAAAAGAACGATCCTTTGACGTGGATGCATGATTAAAACTTCTAACTTCTTGAGTTTCCTGATAATCGTTATGTAGAACAAAAGTCTTGTAATAAACATAGTCACCTGAAGATTTCTTGTAAACAAGAATAACATTTTTATGAGACACTACAAGATATAAGGTAGAAACTTGAACAGAATCATATTGCCCCTGTTGTGGTAGAGGAATGTCGAGATATTTTACTTCTTCGATGCCATTTGGTGATAATTCTGCAATAGCAAACATGTGTGATTGATAGAAACATAGTGTAAGTGATCTTCCAGAGCAGACGACATTGAACTCGGGTTCTCGAAGCACCATCTGACTAAATATAAAATTTCCATTTTTCCAATTATGTAAATGTCTCCCGTATTTATATTTGAAAAGTCGGGCACAACCACACCATGGGCCTATATAAAACAAATAAATATATAAGTTTATTAATAAATATTCTTAAGTTAATTACATCTCACTCCAAAGATATACCATTCCTGAGAAAGTAAAATATAAATTTAGATGTCCAAAAATAAAGCAATAATTAGTAATTATGAAAAGCAAATTAAGGAAATTTAAAAAAAGAAGTTTTAATGATTAATAAGAATTATCAGTGGAACAGTGAAATAAAATTAAGTTTAAGTCATGGTATATTTTCTTGAAAGAGTATAACAGCTTTTCAAAATGTTTTATTAATATTTCAAGAATAAACATCTTGATGTAAAAAAAGTAGACATCATAAACTAAAAATTAGATTTAAAGGTAGATTCAAGTTACACTGACAGAAATCAAGAATATATAAACAGTAAGACAGTTAGTTTTGAATATCTTATATGAACATCAGTCACATGAATGTTATTAAATAATGTCTAATAAAATTATTGATCTACTTATGGACTGCTAGAAATAAATTATTTTGCTAACAAAGAGAAAGAAAGTATTGATATTATACCATTAAAAATATATTTCATAATTTAGTCACTAAAAGTTCAGGTGAACTGGGTATTAATTTTTATAATAAAAAAAATTTAATAAACCCATGATTCGATGGACAATATAATTAATATTATGTTACGAACAGTAGCATAACTAAATCTAGAAATGAGAACCTTAGTAGCAGCAATGCAGGATTAGAGGTTTAAAAAATAGCAAGAAATATTTCCTTAATTCATTCTGAGGGGAAAAAATAACAGTATAGTTCATTCTCAAATAATATGCAACTTGATACATGAAGTCTTTAAGCTGCTCTAGGGTCAAAAGTTGTACACCATCTTTAACTACCACTGCAGTGTTCTATGGTCAATGAACATCTTATGGAGTGATTTGTTAAAAAAAATATGAAAAAGTAAAGCTAGAAAAAAAAACAACTGTGGATCCATACCCAACAGGATCCTTGGATGTCACTCTTCAGAATACATTGTGAGAGTTTTCAGGAAATAATTTTTTGTAATAAACAAGGAGAGGAGTGAACAGAGTTATGATCCCATAGTTAAAATCTGGATAAATCGTTGAGTTCACTAATCGTTTAATACCTTCAAATGATAAAGGGCAGAGTTAATGTCAACTCATCCTCAGTTATAAAACTAAATGTGGTGTGAGTGAATGAAAAATTGATCAAGTTCAAAAGCATATAAATATAGAAGTCAAACTGGAGGTTTGAATTTTGTATGATGGAATAGTTATTAAAATAAACAAATGCAAATAATTTTCAATGGGTGATCCTCATGAACCTTAAAAATGAATTTATTTTTTTTAAAAATTAGAGTGAATCAATGAAATATCACAGACAAAAAATATTTCAGCTAGACCTTCCCCAACATATGTAAAACATGTTTGTACATTACGGTAATGTTTCAATAATTATATTTTCATAATTTCTTCAGTATCAGTATCAAAGGCCAATAATATAACATTAGCAGTTTATTTGAGAATGAACTATCACTAGTGAGTTAACTTTACTATAAACAAAGTACTTAGGTGTTACAGCCATAGAATGACAATGAACTCTCAATCACAAGTGATTTAATAAATTTCTCTGGATGAAATCTTGAATACATCATTGGCAGCACTCCTGTTGGAATTAATGAGGCCTAGAAATAAAACAATAGAGTAATAAAAATGATTACTATTACCCAAACAATTTCTTGAGGGTAAATTATCTCTTGATCTTAAACAGTAACTCAGATTTTTAACAAAATCAGCAGTTGGTCTGGGTCTAACTACTCTGGAAACTAAAAAGAGAGTAATTATATGCTTGAGAATTATATTCTACCAAATTTTAAATGCTTAACCCAGATTCCTACTTGCTTTCCTAATTTCATCAGATGTAGCATAGGGAAAGCAATGTTTCTTCCATAATAAATTACAATTAGCAAGATCACGCCATCCCCTACAGACTTTGAAACAATTAATTAAATCTCGATAAGACAAGTATGATAGTATATGAATGCTAATTTCTATAGGAACTTCGCTCACTATATCCATCATTCAACACTTAAAAACAGGGAAGTCAATGGCATTTTAAAAATAGTAATTAATAAAGACAGAACAAATGAAGTGAGAAACGTCCTATACTTATAACCACCGGAAAACCTACGAAGTAAACGTAAACAAATCAGTAAACAGTCTTTTTCTGATTTGTTTTTACTTGCCAGTTCTTCTATTATTGCTATTTAAGGTGGAATGGTATTTTTTTTTTCTTGTTTTTATGCAATTGTTAAATGTAATTACTGTAACTTCACTTGAGAGAAAATTAAAAAAAACTAGTTCGAAAATTCCAGGAAATTTTGACAAAAGAAGACATAACCTTCGTTTTTCAAGAGTTTAATGGAAGGTAACTTTGACAGTGTACATTCAAAATGGTCGTGAATAAGACATTAGATGTCCGGTGGATTAAAAGATACCGCTTATTTTGCTTAGGTGGTTCAGTTATATTAATAATTCAAGTATTTCTTGCTTATATATTCCTTGCGTTTGATTCGAGCTATGAAAAACCTACTCAAGAGTACTTGTCTGGCAAAGGAAGATTAAATGTGGAGGTTAGTGTTTCTTTTTCTTACTTTATATTTTTTGTAACATTTTGAGTGATTTAATATGAAATTGTTTTACTTTTCTTAAGGTACTGGAAGATCATAATTCCGTGGAATCTTCTCGGAAATTTCGTGATCATTATCTTGGACAAGATGATGATGATGAAGAAGGGCTTGGGAACAGTAATGCTATATACCCAAAAGTCAAACTCCCCCCTGATAAATTGGAATCTATACATAAATTTAAGCAAGTGCCTAGCAAATCTAATAATAAAATAATTGAAGGGAACAAGTAAATACTTTTGTTAACTGATATTGGTGTGAATATTAGCTTTTGATATAATGTTGTTTTAATTAATTATTTATGCTTCTTATCTCATCAGGACTGTACTCCGTGTGGAGGAGCTAGACTTTATACCACTGTGTGAAATTAAAAGCAAAGAAGCAATATCAGCCATCCATAGGGCTAGAACTCAGCATTGCAAGCAAACCATTGCAAACATTTCGTGCCTTATTTCAAGCAGCAATCTTTACCCAGATAAATTACCTCACACATGTCCATCATTAGGTAAGTATTTTATATTCAAACGTTGCTTGTAGATGTTGTGAACAAAGGAATAGAGTTAACAGTAGTTTAAATAACCTTTTTGACCTAGTAGCGAAATCGAAAGCAAAGCTAAATTTTAAAAGTTGTTAATGGGTTTTGGTCCACAAACTTGATAAGTTTTTTTAATTTAACTGAAGAAGATGCAGAAATTATAAAGATAAATACAATAACGTTGATGAAAGTCAACGAAAAACTAGTGTAATAGTTCACAATTATCAGTACACTGTGATGGGAGGGTAAATGATTTTATAGTCACACTGTAGATGGAATTTCAAAAACGGCTGAGTGTTTCCAAAAGTAGAGTTAGGTGATTGAACCCTCTGATAAGGCTCATTTGGGTTTAGTTTAACTGAGTTATTTGGGAGTTCTTTAATTGAGTTAGCGTAACAAGTCAAAATCAGCAATGTGATTAAAGCTAAAAAAACAGTTAAAGTTTATAGTTTACTAAATTAAATTTTACCTTGAAATTTTGGGAAGATTTAATTCATGATCTAAATAAAGGGAAATTATATTCTTAACGTGTCAATATTTAGCTATTTTCGGAATTCCATCTATGAGATCTGCTCGCCCATCTTGGTAGAGTGATGTAAAGTTTATTTTGAACTTGTCCTTAAAGTACATATGGATAAAACAAAATAAATGGTTGGATAAAAAAAAGATAAATTTTGGTTATATTGATGTAAGAAAGAATGCATTTGAGTTCACAGAGAAATCTACAGTATACAATCAAAATTAGACATAAGTCATAATGAGAGGCTATTATTTATTTTTCAGTTGTATAATTGCTTAGTTTGCACAAAACTAACACCTTCACAAAACTGTTATCGTTTCTACTGTTCTTTACAAGTTGAAACATGGGGGCTTATTTTAAAGTGAGAACAATAATGCCTTAGAATCTTTGGAAATAAGGTATTGTGTAGAATAGTACGTCTGTTAAAGGATGAAATGCAGCATTGTGGAGCATGAATCCTGCTAATGTAATTGAAGAAATTATATTGCAGCGGTTAAAATAGACATGTTTTGTCTATAACTAATAAATCCATGAAAAGTTTATTAGCGTTAATACAATGGTTAAATTTCTGTAACATATTGCCTTATATGTAGGTTATAGTTTCGTATTTAAGCTGATTTTACATATATAAGTATTAATTATGTTCGATAGTCAGAGAAGAGTTCGCACATATTATTACTGTTTACCTGAGGGTTGAATTGAGTAAAAACTATAGTGGATAATTGATCACATCTAATTCTGACCTGGAAATACATCAAGACTTATTTATAATTTATAAATAGTTTTTTATATATAATTTAAATAGTTTATATTGTTATGTTGAAAGATGAAATTTTTAGTTTTGTAAAATAATTTCAGTATGATACTAAAATTAATGACTCAAAGTTTGGCAGGCTTTCATGCAAAAATGGAAAGTTAATTCTTTTTTCCACTTTTAAATTAAGGTTTCAAACTACTTGTCGTGGGTAGTTCTTTCTCTCTGAGTTTTGAAAAATCTGTAAAAATGTTCAGCAGTCATTGGCATGATTGAACTAGAGCAAAAAGTGCCATTCTTTCCTAAGCGATGGAGGCTTGACTTGAAATCTTCTATGCCCTATTAGGGTTTGATTTATTTACAACCCTACCTTTTCTTTTAGGCACTATGAGTGTTTGCAACATACAGATTTTAAACATCCTTACATAGTAATCAACTACATTTGAAATTAATCGAGTAACAATTTACATTTTTTATACTTAACTGTGCACACAGCTTGCTCTTCTTTTTTTATTTTATAAAGTTCAATGATTGTCCTCTATTGCTCTTCCTTACTCCAGTGGCCTCTCTGGACCTCCTCCTCCCCTTACCAGAGATCAGTGGGTTGGAGCAACAAATTCATTTCACCCATTGATAAGGTCTTGAAATAAGGATACTTCTTCTTGGTTCTTAGTTACATAAAATCTCTCACTGTCAGAACATAGTGCTCACTACTTCCTATGAGGAAACGTTTTTTTTTTGTTTTTTTTTTGGGTCTTCCCCTTCCTCGCCTTTAAGGCTATACGGGGTTTTCCTGGGCCAGAGAGTGAGGGTGGGGATTTAAAAGACTCCCCCAGCATCAGGACGCGAACTCTTGACTATTTTTATCTCGTAATGCCATATATCAGGTTGCCGAGCAACAGCGGTGCTGTGCACTCACATTAGCCCATTCGGCCTAGCTTTTGTTTATTTATGTTTTCCACTCTCCCATGCCACTATGGCAATACGGGTGTTTGCAATAGTGTGTTATTAGGCATGAATGCTTAATAACACACTACTACTTGTCAATATAATGTGCAGTTCTTCTGTTCTTCTTCTTCTTCTTTCGGTCTAGCTTCCAGAATCTGGAGGTCTTCCTGGCGCTTGTCCTCTTCTTCTGCGGGCACTAATATGGAAGTGAGCGGGCCCCACCGCCGTTTTCCATCCATTTATGAAAGCCTTAAACCGTGGGAAATTTTCCTCGCTGACTAACTGAGGAAATTCATTTTCAGTGAGGACATAGCTGATAGTTGATTAGGAAATATTTTATGAAGGTATCTTCCCTCCATGTAAACTTTAATCCAGATTTCATTTGTTGATGAAACCTTCCAATAAGACCTAACAACTTGTTTCTTTCTAAATTTTCTCTTGGAGATTCCCACATATATCTGCTTTGCCTTCTCGCAGGTAATCAAACGTTCTTGTGATTTTGGTTTTCTTGAAAAGAAATTCAAGAGATGTTTTTCCTATATATTAGAATAGAATAGAAAATTGAACTTTATTCTGGGACTAAGTCCCCTTAGAATAACAATGCTCAATTAATACAAAAAATAAAATACAAATCTGGCCAAAAACTAACTTATAAACACTCTAACATTATATACATTATATTATATAGCTTCGTCAAATTAAAATAAAGTTATTACATTAACTTACAGAAATTATTAGACTTCAGAAGTTATTCATCTATTCCTTTTATTCTACTGTGTCCTTTTCCTTCAATTTGTCATTTGATTGCTTTTGCGATTCTTTTGTCTTATATTTAGTTAAATTTATATTTAGTGGTGGAAATACACTCAGTAAATTACCTTTGTGACCTATGATCAAAAAAGTATAGAGGAAGTATTGATATTCACATTCCTCCTCTATAAAGATTAAAAATATAGAGGTCTGATATATATAAATTTGTTTCTCGGTATGTATTTAAATAATCCAAATGTATATAAATATATGTGTATGTGCATATATATATGTATATATATATATATATATATATATATATATATATATATATATATATATATATATATCTTTTAATATTTACTGCTGAGGTCACTATTAAAATTGATGTGTATGTGCTATACATATGCGTAGATGTGCATATATATATATATATATATATATATATATATATATATATATATATATGTATATATATATATATGCACATACACATCAATTTTAATAGTGACCTCAGCAGTAAATATTAAAAGATTTTAGCAGTTAGCTCATTTTATTTTGTGGTATAAATGTGTATAGGATTTTTGTTTTTCATTTCAGGTTTAGAAACTGGCAAAGCAATGGGATGTTATCAGGATGATAAGGCATTAAGACTTTTAACTGGATTTTACCAGAATTTGAAGACAACTAACTCACCACATACATGTTTAGACATATGCACAAAAGGTGGTTTTCCTTATGCTGGTGTCCAATATGGGTTTGTATTTCCATCATGTTTTATAACTAATTGTTCTGATTAGTATTTTATTATTTCTTCTTTGTCCTACGAATTTCTTATTTTTATTTATTTATTTTATTTTATTAATTTTTTCCTTTCACTTGACTATATATAATATATAGTAAAAGAAAGTATTGCTATCTTGGAAATTTTCGAATCTGAGTTTTCAATGGACATACATGTTTTGAAATCCTCTGAGTCCCAATAGTGAAGTCCCACAAAGCGGTGTGTGTGTGCGCTTGTGTGTTATAGTGTCTAGGTCAGTAGACGTTGTTGACCTGGTGGTTTTACGCCTACAAATAACAACAAACAAAGTTTAGCTCTAAAACGGAAAGTCCTACAAAACAGATATTAGGTATTTAAGATGTGTATATGGCTGGAATGTTACAGCAACTTTTTCCTGAAAATCAGCTAATAACCGGAAGTACCACTTTATATCATCAGTTTTACCCATTTTTACAATTTTCTAAAAAAAAAAAGGCTTTAATGATTTTGATTAAATTCATTATGCAAGTTAAAAATTAAGCAATTTTTAATATATTGTTGGTCTTATTTTCATTGATGTTCTCTAACAGGGCTTAAATACCACCACTAAATACACCGAATTTTTACAAAAAAAAAGACGTCTTTCTGTATATTTCATTTATTTTTCACTTTTGCGCAACCGGTTTCGCTCTTTTATCTGATCTTCATCATGCCAACTGATGGTGGTTCTCCTCTCCTGCTTGTCAAATGAGGACTGATAAATACACCAAATTTTCAACATTTCTTCCTCTAAAGTACCTTTATTATTTTTTATTTGAAATAATTAACCATTTTACATTGTAATCTGCTATAAAAAATCGTTAAATATAAGATATGAAAGAATTTGACTATTAACTGAAGGAGAAATAAGGGATCGTGTCGAACAGTAGTAATATAGGGACCAGAGTAACTCGAGCTCAGCTGAAATGTTAGAATAGGCGTCGATACGTAATACACAGTTTTCATAAATGCTAGTATTTTTAATAATTAATTGTATAGATTACAAAAATTAAAATTTATATATATATAAATGCTTAAACAAATAAAAATACAATAAAATACAAATAAATCCAGCAGCATTATTTTTAGACTAAACATATTTTTTGGCACTTAATTATTTATTATGATCAAATAAATAATTAAAATATACAGTCATAAAAGGTAATGGTTAGTGACAAAAAACATAAATATAATACATTACATGGATTTGAAAAACTATATGGTAATCAATTGTTTTAAATTATATTTTGTACGATCTATAATTTTTACTTCCCTTTGTCTGAAAATACTTTTTCTGCTAAAAAATAAAGGTGGTAAGTGAAACTTGTGGGGTACGCTCACCGCATCAGACTTTTTTTTAATTTTATTAACGCCAACAGTGTAAACAAATTAAAGAATGTTGCGTGGATTATAAAAGGTATCAATGTGGATTACATTTTTATTTTTTATTTTATTGTTTAATTTTGAAAGTTAGCGTAAAGGATTGCTCATATTTTACCTTTTACTTAATAACCTATAAATGTGTCAAGATAATGAGGATGTAGGTCTTTCAAATTGTAAAAAAAGAAAATCAAAACTTTATAAGTCGTTTTTATGCATTCTTTCAATTATTTCAGAACTGAATGTTTTTGTGGTGTTTCTGAACCTCCTTCATCTGCTAGACTGCCTGATTCTTCTTGTAACATGAAATGTCCTCTTGATCCGAAGCAGCCCTGTGGTGGATTTTATACTGTTAATATTTATCAAACTGGCATAGCAAGTTAGTTTTCTGTTTACTATTTGATTACTTTTTATTTATTGATACATATATTTTTAAATTATTGCCTTCATCTTTTTTAATTTCAGAACTTTCAAAAGAGACGGCTGAGTTAGTTAGCTCATCACCGTCTGATGTACCTAGAGCCAGGGTTCTTTATCTGTTGACTCTTAATGGCAGGTCTATACGTCAAGTGAAAAGACTCATAAAGGTGTTATATAATGTCTCCAACTACTTTTATATTCACGTTGATGCAGTAAGTTATCGCATTGTATATTATTAATTTTATGAAAGAACTATCAAGTGATAGTATGAAAGTTATAATTTTGTACTTTCTACTACTGTTTTTTACTTTCACTTACCTGTATATGTAATATATAGTAAGTATAAGTATTGCGATCTTGAAAATTTTCAAGTCTGAGTTGTCAACGGAAATACACGTTTTGAGGTACCCTGAGTCCAAATAACCAAGTCCCGAAAAATGGTCTGTGTGTATGTGAACACTCTAGCTCAAAACTGAAAAGTCGTACGAAATTGATATTACGTATTTAAGGTAGGTATATGCCTTAGATGTGCTTGCAACTTTTTCCTTAAAATCGGCTAACCGGAAGTGCCACTTTACATCAACGCTGAAACACATTTTTACAATTTTCTCAAAAAGGCTCTAACGATTTTGATTAAACTTGGTGTATCATTGTATAATTAAGTGGTCTTTAATATCATTTAGGTCTTATCCCCGTTGATGTCACTTTACAGGGCCCAATGTTCATATGTGTCTTCCTCTAAAGTACCTTTAATATGGTTTATTTTAAATAATCAACTATCCCTTATTATTAAAAGTTACGAAAAAATGCTAAATATAAGTTTTGAAAGAATTTGATAATTGAATAACGGAGAAAAAAATAAAAATATCTATACAGGTCACAAATGAATCTCCAGAAATACAAGTCAGAAGGTATACTTATAATATATCGTTGGAAAGTGGAGAATTTTAGAAAAAACAATATCTAATATAGAAAGTTGTAGAAGTTAACAGAGAGCGGCGAAAAAATTATAAATAATGATTTTTGAAAACTGATAATATTTAACGTAAATCACATATTTTCAAAGAAATTAAATGAAATTTTCTAACTAAAGGTAAACTTAAAAAAATATTTTTACGTTTGTAGAAAGTATTTAAAATCCAACTAATCAAGGCAATGGCATTGATAAAAAAACTATTTCATTGTATTTGTGTGAAAGAAGAAGTAAAATATACATCATTTCATGGGCGTATAAAGCATATGTTTATAACCATAAATATATTTAATGTAGTTTAGTGATTATAGATCTGATATTATAGTTAAATAATTAGGTATCAACGTTTATTCCGAAAAATTGTCTTGTAACTTTTAAGAAAATTAAATTAGTGAATAATTTGATGAATTTTCCCTTTGTGAAATCCCAACATTATCATATCTTCCTCTAAAGTACCTTTAATTTGGTTTATTATAAATAATAACTATTTATCATTGTTAGGAGTTATGGAAAAATGCTAAATATAATTTTTGGAAGAATTTGATAATTAAAGAAGAAAAAAATAAAAATACTTATACAGGTCGAAAATGAATTTCCGGAAATTCTGTTCAGAAGGGATACGTATAATATATCGGAAAGCGGAGAATTTTAGAAAAAAACAATATCTAATATAGAAAGTTGTAGAAGGTAATGAAGAGTGGCAAAAAAAATATAAATAATAACATGTTTTCAAGGAAATTAAATGAAAGTTTCTTACTAAATGTAAACTTTTAAAGTTTGAAAAAGTATTTAAAACCCACGGATTCAAGGCAATGACATTGTTTAAGATACTGTTTCATTGTACTTGTGTGAAAGAATTGAAGTATAACAATATTTCATGGATACATTTATAACCTTAAATATATTTACTGTAGTTTAATAACTCTAGATCTGATATTATATTTAAATAATTAGGTATCTATCGTTCGTTGATTCCAACAAATCATGATGTATCCTTTACAAAATTAAATTAGTGAATAATTTGATAAATTTTCCCTTTGTGATATTCCAACAGTATCCACTTACAATTACTGTGACAACTTTTGACCTGTCTATGACAGACAATGCAAATCTCTTAGTTACGTTTGAAAAACTTTGCAATGGAAGGTAACAGTTTAATAACTAATGGTCGTACAATCCATAATCAACGGATCGAACAATCCATAACCAACGAATCGTACAATCCATAATCAACTGGTGATATAATAAATAGAACTTTTGTTATTTAATAGTATTTATGATCTGTTAGCTGCAATATTTTAGCTTTAACTCAGTTAAAAATGCTATTCAAAAATTTTATAATAGCCCAACATGGCCAGAAAATAATTTTTATTCAACGTTGTGCGGTAAGTGAAGGTTGTGTGTTGCGCACACCAGATTTTTTCTATTAACTTTTGATCCAAAATATTTCAAGAAGATGATATAGCTATGTTTTTTGCACATGCATTAGCCTGCTCGGCCACATTGCCCTCCCTCCCCTTACATATAACCTATACCCTAGATTATTATGTTTAGACATTCATTCAATTCTTAAATAATCTCTTCCCATGTTCATCTTTATTCTACTCCCAGAATCACTCATTTTTTTTTTTTTTTTTTTGTATTATAATTATAATGAGTATTATAATTCTGCAGTTTTGCTGCTGTTTCATTTTCAGTTCCATAGAGTTCATGAAATAAATGTTATAATTATTCATTTTCATACAGTACTTAGTGTGAATTAACCTGAAATTATGTAAAATAATGATTTTCTCCAATTTTAATATTTTTTAATTTAATTCTAGAGACAAGATTATTTGATGAGGCAATTGGTAGAAGTGGAAAAGAAACTAAAAAATGTTCGATTATCAAGAAATAGAAATGCATCTATTTGGGGCGGTGCTTCACTGCTTACTGTACTTCTTCGAGCCATGATTGAACTTATACCCGATAAGACCTGGAAATGGGATTATGTTATCAATCTGTCAGAAAGTGACTTTCCTGTCAAGTAAGTGGTTTGTTTGTTTATTTCATGTATATAATATAATATTTCATTTATGGAAATCATGCAATTTCTGCATTCTTGAGTTGTTGATTTTTCAAAGTTGTTTCACAATGATCTGTCAAAGAAGTCTTATTTTATTTCATTGGTGGGGAACTGTGGCCTCCAAACGTTTTTTGCACAATTAATCTAGTGCTAGAATTAATTAATGTTTAATTGTTTAAGTAACCAAAATTTGGTAATTAACAGAATTAAGTTGAATATATGTATAAGGGTATTAGTATTTAATGACTAATGAATATAGCAACAGTAAAATATAAAGAATTGTTGTGGCCTCCATTAGCACTACCTAATCTTACTATGGCTTCTTATTATAAAAAAATTCCCCTCCTCTGGTTTATTTAATTCTTACTAAAATATGAAGTTATTTTCTTCTCAAATGGTAGCACAACTCTTAACCATTCCTTGAAAAACAGCTGTTTTCAAGATATTCTTTTTGAAATTTGAGAATGAACCATCTGTATTACCCTCCACGATTAGAAAATCATTAATGGTGTTTTCATATAGTTTCTATTTACCTTCCTTTGAATTTCCTCTTGGGAAAAGTGATTCTTTAAACTCCTTAAATTTCTGGGCTCTTGTGTAATCCGAAGAATGCTGTATCTAAAGCCTTCTGAGAAAGGAGAGGAGGGACCTAAGTTTATGGGTTATATATTATTGTATGAAAGAAGTATCGGATTCGAAATGACTTTTTCTACGTATCAGACAAGATTTGACTACATGGATTCTTCTACAGTTTTCACTATTTGGTCTTTCATTCAGGCGACCAATAATTCTCCTTTTCATGAATCAAGAAGGTTAGGCAAGATTGGAAGTAGGCCATGGTGCATTATGTTAGATAAAAAAGAAATAAATAAAAGGATCCACTGCAATGGAATTACCCTTCCTCATGCCTCAAACGCCATTACTATAATTTATTTATTTATGTATTTCTTTTTGTTTATGACCCAAGATTATTATTAGATGAAATATGATGTTGACTAAGAATTTTATCATAATTTTTAGGACTAATGATGAGTTAGTTGACTTCTTAACTGTTCATAGAAAACGAAATTTCGTTAAGTCTCATGGTAGAGAGGTTCAACGATTTATACAAAAGCAAGGTCTTGATAAGACATTTGTTGAATGTGATGCTCATATGTGGCGTATTGGTGACCGCAATTTACCTTCAGGTTAGTTTATTTAATTATAATTAATATCATCACATTTGTATGGAGCACTAAATTTATCTTTTTAGAAATGTTTTTTTACATAAAATTAATTAATCTTTTTTTATTGTGTATTATATTAATGTTAATAATTACTGTTGGGAATGTTTTACCAGCTTCTCTTATAGTTTTGGAAATATTTCCAAAGAGATTAAAAATCCCTAGTATTACTTTGAACTAGAAGTTCTTTATAAATGAAATCCTGCAATGTTCAAATTTATTCATACAAAATTGTTTTGTTTTTTTCCATTTATAGTCCAGTCAAATTAGGGATTGAATCCAACATTCAAAAAATAAAGATGAAACTTGTCAGAAATTGTTCATTACTATCCCCATAATAACTGATAAAAAGCCCCAAAGAATCCCGCTTCTGGTTTTGATGGGGGAAGAGGGAGAAGGACAGAAAAATTATATTTTTTTAGTTTTTTGGAGAATATCTCAAAAACTATGAGGTTTTTACAAAGTACTTTAAAATCTTTATAAAAATGATCCTATTCTTTTTTTTCTTTTTTTTATAAAATCAATAAATACAGAGATATTTATCAGATTATATTTATTGTATTTCCTCTTAAAGCGAAAAATTGCTTCAAACCACAAAATTAATGTTGTTCAAAATAGACAATACCTTTTTGAAGTTTGATTAGTTTTTTAACATTTTCAATCGCTCAAATTATTATTAAATGTTTCTTTCTTTTAATGATGCTAAAATGTCTTTGACAACCGCATTATATCCTATATCAATCAATGGAGAATTTCGTGATAACGATATGAAGTTAAGATTGACATTAATGTCATATAATTGATACTGTGTGGTAGAAGAAAACAACATACAGAGAACCACAAAACTTGAATTTTGTGATTTTGAGGCCAACCACGTTTTATGTTGAATAAAAAGCAAAACTAAAAAAATGTTTAATTTAGCTTACTACCAATTAATGCTTTGTCGATGACTTTTTAAATTCATTAAAAGAAAGAAACTTTGAATAATAATTTGAACAATAAAAAATGTTAAAAACTAATTAAACTTCAAAATGGTATCATCTATTATGAACAACTTCAATTTTGTGGTTTGAAGCAATTTTTACATAAAGTGGAAATATAATAAACATAATCTGAAAAATATCAACGTAACTATTGATTTTATAAAAAAAAAAAAAAAATGTATAGGATCATCTTTATAGAGATTTTAAAGTACTTTAGTATTGTACTGATCAATCTTTGTAAAAAACCTCATAGTTTTTGAGATATCCTCAAAAAACTAAAAAAATATAATTTTTCTGTCCTTCTCTCCCTCCCCCCATCAAAACCTCATACGTTATTCTTTAGGACTTTTTTTTACCATTTATTATGGGGATGGTAATGAACAATTTCTGACAAGTTTCCTCTTTATTTTTCGAATTTTGGGCTAAGGTTGTTTTTTTCCCTAACTCTACCGGACTATTAAAGATGAGTCTTATTTATCAATTTTACTAAACAAGGATTGTATCACACACTACTTTCTGGATTATTGTGTGTGTTCTTTGATATTTGTGTAATTTTTTATCTTTCCTCATATACATTAACAGTGGCTTATATAAGTAAAAGTAGCTTCAGAAATTCATTAATAACTCTTAAAGATAATACCATATTCTGTGTGTGATTATTTTGCATTAATTGTATTTCATTACAATTTTGCTTCCTTGTTTTGGACAAAATCTTGTTTGAATTAAATCAGTTTGTGAGAGGCAAGGTGCTTATTAATTGTGTTATTTCTTGCACCCTTTACCCAACTGGACCTTTTACTCTTGCTCAAAAGGTTTAAAATTTCATTTTTTTTTTTTTTTTCTTAAAAGAAGGAACATTATTTAAATTTGCATCATATTTATTTTTGACCAAATTTATGTTGTTTTTTTTTTACTTAAAATACTTTATTTGCAGGCATTGTTATTGATGGTGGGAGTGATTGGTTTGCTCTATCAAGGCCTTTTGTCGAATATCTAGTGACTTACGAAAAAGATCCTCTACTCCAAGGGCTTGTTACATTTTTTAAATATACTCTCCTCCCAGCAGAGGTATTTCCCAATGTAGTTACGACTAGTAAAGTAATACAAAATTTAAATTAGTTAAAAAGAGAATTAGCTATGATTGTATTTAAAAACTAATTTATGGTATGACAAAAGTAAAGTGCAAATGGATTAGTAATCGACTTGAAACCCACATTCAAATTAATTAATGGATTTCTAAATTTTTTTCTAAAAACATTATTTGATAAGAATTACATTCTTTTGCATTAATTTTATTTCATTACATTTTTACATTATCATTTGAAATATTTCTTTTTTTCATAAAAAAATGATCGCTCTACATCAACAGAGGGCCTATTTATGTGTGCTTTAAATTACTGGTTTGTTGTTTCATTCAAAAACTTCTTTTGATCAATAACTGTTACATTTTTGCTATTGTAAGTGTCGATTCATAATTTAAACTTGAAATAAAACGATGCACTCACTTGTGGCATTGAAAATAATTAAAAATATTACCTTTAGTAAATTAAAGAGGAAATGAAAAGCCAGGAAAGGAACAAAATCCATATTCTAAGAATTCAACAATTGAAAATGAATCTACAATTGTAAACTTGAATTTCACATTTTAATTTTTTTTTTCTTCATTGAAACTATCAATTATGTAATTATATGCATTTATATCAAATATCTGAATACACTTATGTTTATTTGATAAGCAATTGAAAACTACATGCAATTGGATAAAATTCCAGACCTTGCTTAAAATCCTTTTAACTATATTTCTTTGAGCCACAATGATTAGCAGTATTATTGTTTTTTGGCCAGTGGTATCAGTTCTTTTTTTATTGTCACTAATATTGAACTTTGTGTTAAGTTTTATCTATGAGAAATCAACCCCTAGTTTCCCTAAGATATTACATTTTTTTACTATCTGTTCTTAGAGTTTCTTTCATACTGCTCTACGAAATTCTCCATTTTGTCGGACATATGTTGATAATAACCTTCACGTGACTAATTGGCGTCGCCATCTTGGTTGTAAATGTCAATATAAGCATATTGTTGATTGGTGTGGTTGTTCACCGAATAACTTTCGTCTTGAAGATTGGGGTAGACTTCAGGTATGTCTAATTTAAAAAAAAAAAAATATTTTAAGAAAATGAATTAATATTTTACTGCTTTTATTAATGGTTTTCAGAGTACTAAGTTAAAACCTGTGTTCTTTGCTCGGAAATTTGAACCTGCTGTAGATCAAAGTATTATCAATCAAGTTGAGGCCTGGTTGTATGGACCTTTTCCCTCAAGTAAGTAATTTTTTGTCTACTGTTTGTTGTTTTAAATATTGAATGTATTAGACTGTTTTGTATCCATTGATGCTCAGATTGTTTACCAACAACCGTTTTGTTTTAAATTATTTTAGTTTACACCTTGAAATTAGAGAAGCTTTCATTATACCTGCACCATCCATATTCATCTCTATAGTTACTAGACAACATAATTAATAACTATATATGAGAAGAATATCACTGTCAACCATCTCTATCCTATTAATAATTATATACATAATAATTATTTCAAAATTTTAATCTAAAATCAATTTTAGATATATTAAAATCAGAAGAACACTATCAAATAATTTATTTTTTAAACAAAAAAAAAAATTAAAGTGATATGTACGGCATGATATTTGTATAACTGGTGAAAAATTATGTAATTCAAATAAATCGTTAATGTTATTATTTAACATTGTTTTGTAATTATAGAGATGAATATGGTACAGGTACACCTAAAGTTTATCTAATGTAAGTTGCATAATAAAATAATTTAAAAAGCGACTCTGTAAAGAACCTGAGCATTATTGACTTATTTTTTAGATAGATTCATTAAATTCTACTCATAACTAAAATTGTACTTCCCTTTACCTTTCCAGATATTTCAGTTGTGTTCATCTTCCTCTCCAGAATCCCTCCTCATTGAAAGCTCTTTAATGCATAGCTATATGTAAGAAAACTTTCCTGAAAGTCCTATTGCTCATTTTTAGTTTGTACATTTATTTACTGAGGCTTAATAACACTTAAATGTAATTTATTTATTTAACGTTTTTTTTTTTATATTTATTATTTTGAACTTTTGTTTTATTCTTGAATAGAACTAATTTTTTTTTTTTCAACGTTTTAGACGTCACAGCAATGGAGAGCTATTGGCATTCTACTTATTCCTCTTTGGACCTTGAGCCTCGACCAGATGATGCATTGATTAGTACTGCACTTAGTCTTACACGGGCTACTTCTAGAAGGAAATTGAATTGCAGTTTTTCTTCCACGAACAAAATATTAGAGATTACATCATATTATCGTTACGATGCTTATGTCGTAAGTTATTTTGTTAGTAGTACAGTAGTGGGTAAAACGTAAGTTTTGTTTATTTGTACACCTATATCTCTTAACTAAATGTATTAATTTGAAATACTCAATAACTCACTGTGAAACACATTTCACACCTCTCAAAAGGGCACCACATTGTCCAAGGATTCTCAGACAGCTATGAAAATGTATTTTATTCTCTATTAGTAGCTAATATAGAATAATTTTACAATTTTCATTAAATTCATTTAAGTTCTCTTTCACTGTAGACGGTTTTAAAGATTTATCCTTGAATTTTGTAAAGTGTTAAAGGTATTTTTTTTTTAAATTTCTAATGGTGATTCAGGTAGGAATTATCTCTAAATGTAATTATGGAGTAAACTTTTCAAAAACATTTTTATTTCATTGATATTGTAACGTTTAGTCATTTTTCAACTTGTTTTATGTTATATACAATCGTAACTGGTAATATTATGAGTTCTTATCCTTTAAAAGTGATGAGCCTAATATTTATTACATTAAGTTTTTTATGTTACAAATTTGTGCTTCTTAGAAAGAGCAGACATTACTTACCTGTTAGATAATTCTCATAAGTTTGCTACTTCAAGAATTCAAGAAATCTTAAATTGAAGTATATTTAAATTCAAGAATTCGATTAATCATTATTCCTTTGTTGGTTTGTGTAAATAATAAAAATATCCATGATCCAGCTCCTACTACTTTCCTACCTATACTAGGTAAGGAAAGTATTCAATCGGGTCAAATTTCCGACATGCGGTTTTCGACGGATCTATATGTTTCAGAGCCTCCTGAGTCCGAAAAACATTTTCAGCCATTGGTCTGTCTGTCTGTCTATGCCAAGATTTTCTCGGAAACTACTGAACGGATTTTGTTGCTCTTTTTTTTATTTTGTAGGGTTTTGACTACTGATGGCTGTGACAGAAATTCGGTGTTCCATCCGCAATAGCTTGCACGCAATAAATGCTTTAGGTTATCAAATAAATCGTACTCAAATCTTATGTTTGATCAATTTTCAGGAAAATGTATCTAGTTCAATTCGTTTTAGTTTCTTCATGAACATATGTAAAGATATAAAAACTTTTTGAAATAGGTAGGAAAGTCGTGTGAGTGGACACACCAGATTTTTTTTTTTAAATGCAAATGTTGGGTATTCCTGAGAAATTTTAACCCTATGCTGAATTTTTTTTCTTGATTACTTTATACAAAAATGTTTTTTTGTTTCCCTATCAGTTTTATTTATACAATTTTTTTTTTTATATTTCACAATTTTATGTGATTTAAATTTATTTGTCTTTTTTCAGGGCTCTTTGATACTTTATAACATAACAGCAAAAGACAACCTGGATTCAATTGTTCTGGAAACGTGGGTACGGCCTGTTGGACACTACACTGTTTTAGAAACAATGACTTCGCTTTCAGCTCTCAAAGTACGTATGTACGTGGCTATTTAATGAGAATGTGTTAGTCCTGACAAACACATCTTAATCACGAATTGATAAAACAGTGGCTTATTGTCTAACCTCTGTAGACTAAAATAAAATATAGTTTCAATCCCGAATTCCCTTATAATTCCTTTTTTTGTTTATATCATAAACCATATTATTTTTAAAGGTATGTGAATATGTACTGTACGTGTACAATATTTTTATGTTAAAGAAGTGTAAAACTTAAAAACAGCATTTTTGAGTTGTTCCCCTTTCATTCTGAATGCAAAGCGATATTTATAAAGAGAAAAATTATTTTATAAAGCTCTTTCTAATCCACACCAAATGTATTAGCGACCCAACTTTTGATCTTTACTCCTTTGTTCAAGTTTAAGTTTAGTTCTGAAGTAGTTATGACTCAGTCTGTTGATGTCAGAACCTTGTGAGAGAACTACAATAATATTTGCACCGCTGCTAAACTGTGTTGAGCTGCTAAATCGCACAACATACTCAATCAATCAACAGATATTATTTTAAAAAAAACAACAACAAATGAGAGTAGATGGGACCATTTTAATATATAGCAAATATGTTGAAAACAGTGTACAGAATAACACATGCAAGGGCTTAGATCAATATATGTGGTGATGAGGGATTCCCAACAAGTCCAAAATAATAGTCCCTGCCATGGTCTCCATCTTGCTCCCTTCCAATACCGAGTTTCCGTAAAAAATCACTTGTAATAAGAGGGATGGTTTCCCTACTTCTGAACCACAGCCCTTTAACTGAGAAATTTCTCTCATCGAATTCATCCCTATATTTTTCTTTTAAGTGGGGTATGCATTTCTTATAAATTTCTTCTTTCTCTGTTTGCACCTTAACGTCTTGATCTTGATCGTTCGTTGAAAATTTGATTGTAGGATCAACTATAAGCACTTCCTTTTCTGTTGCTTTAAATGCTAAAATGTCAAGGAATGGAGCCTTTTATATCTTTACAATAAATAATTTAGTATTATTAGTTACAATAAATATTAAATAAATTTAATAATTTTGACAGTAATAAAGTTTATTATTAATTTTAGAGAATAGAAGTAAGCAGTGACTATGACCAGAAGGAATCTGTTGCTCGAAATTGGTTACGGACTCTAGGTCCGTTTTCAGAACCAGTTGCAATTTACTATCTGGAACAACCTATATCTGGTTATAACTTGACTTTACTTTGGATAGATCCAATTGGTGCTTTAGCTGATGTTTCTTATCTGTCAATCTCAGGTGATAGCCTAGTAAGTATATATTAAGGTTTTTTTATTTTTTTAATACTCGGTAATCATTTTTATTATAGTTTTAGAAATGTTGTAATATTATAATATTTCTTTACTAGATTATGAATGATTGATATAATTATCGCCATATTTTAGGCTATGATTCAACTTAATTAATGAAAGTAAAAACTTGAAAAAATATTATTAGGTTACAATTTAGAATTTGAAACAAATCTATTAATCTTTCAAACTACATTTAATGACTAACTGGTTAATTAATAATAACTGATCATTTTATTATTTAGTGCTCTTTAAGGAACTAAAGACTTTGTTTGAAATTTTCCACATAATTGAAGTTGGAAGAAAATAATACTGGTATTAATAGCTTTAATTTTATTTATTTATTTTAATTTATTAATTTTATTCAAAATAAGCCCAAAAATTACCATAAAGTATACTAAAGTTACCATCCATTGTGTTTCAAGGTTCTAGATCCTCAAAAACAATCAACTGTATGGACAAAACTATGTTTCACTTAATAATTGCATTTTTTTTATTGAAAACTTATTAGCATCTATTCTAATTTACTAATTTTGCTCAGGTGTAAAATCATTTATCATCTTTTGATTTATTCTTGATTGATTGATTTATCTATTTTTCTATTCTTGGTTATTTGTGACTAAATATATTGTTTATTTTATTTTTTTTAGACAGGGTTTGTAAAAAGCTCATTGAAGGCACCATTATTTCCCGGTATTTGGACTTTGAGGATAATACATGGAGGTAAAGCACATTCTGAAACTTCTTTCCTTGTGACACCTCTTGAACTGCTGAATGGGTCTCCTTTAACCCAGAGGGAGGCTGGGTATGTTGTTTCTTTAATAGTTTATTTCAGTGGTGTATCTATTCTATTTAGTACAGTATTATTAAAGTAAAACTTAGTTTTATCAAATAAGATATCTAATATTTCTAATTGTTCAAATATTTTATTTTCCCTAACTGATGATGCTTTAGTCCTCATTCAATATCATTCCAAATGGGAAGTTCTGCCCTTAATACTACGACAGTTGTGAATGATACTTACGAAGAAAATATATAATCGTAGTTTTCTGGGGGCGGGGTGGCCGAATGGGCTAAAGTGTGTGCACAGCACCGCGAGTAGCCTGGCAACCGGATTACAGATTTGAGAAGATTTAAAAAGTACGAGTTCGCGTCCCGGTGCCGGAGGGGATTTTAAATTCCCGGCCCGGGAAAATCCCGTATAGCCTAAAAGGCAAGGTAGGGAAGAACAAAAATCGTAGTTTTCTTTTTGCATCTCTTTTTATTTCTTCATTGTTGCACTGTTTCTTCACTTCTTATTAAAATACAAAATTTATTGTATATACTCAGAACTCTAGAAAATTTATATAAATATATATGTGTGTGTATATATATATATATATATATATATATATATATATATATATATATATATATATATATATATATATATATATCAAAACTTGTAGTTTACCTAACTAAATGTTATTATTGTGAAAAAATGTATCGTTTTATGAATTACATCTAAAAAAAAAGAAGTAAAGGGTTTATTTGTTAGCTGTACATTTTCCAGGAGTAATATACAGATCTATGTTTTTATTTAATTTAAAAGTCAATTAGTTAAAACTTATATTCCAGTTTTATGCACCGGGGTCCTTCTGAAAGATATCCAAAGAGAGCTGAAGACTGGGGCATTCGAGGTGGTGGTAATGCCTTAGAAAGGAGAGCTCTTTCCAATGCCAGAAGAACTGGTAAAGATCTGCAACAGTGGATTGACTCCCTTTCTAGTCGGTAAGTAGAAGTTTTTTGTTGTTGTAATATTGTCTTAATCTTGGGCTTACAGTCCAAGTGTATCAAAAATAACATATTCATTATTGTTCATTTATCGATCATCATCTGCATAATTATTTATAATTATATATTTGCTTTAATCTGCAATTAAATCAAATAATTTTTTTCTCACCTCAAATCATTGTTTTGTTAGGTTTTATGAAATTGTTGAGAGCTGTGTTGTCAAAAAAAGGAAGTGGTGTGACCTTCCTGTGTGTGAAAACACCAACTGGAGTTCACTTTCACCCGATCCAAAATCAGAATTAACTACGGTGGATGATGTTTCTGGCAGAATGAAAAGGTGAGATGGGTTATGAATGATAAATGTTATATTATTTTTGGAACAAGCTGTTTTCTAAGACCAATATTCTGAAACAAATTAAATGTATTCGCTAAAATAATTACTAATCGAGAGTCTTGATGCAAAAATCAGATAGTGCAAATTTTCCAGTTTTTTTTTTTTTTTAAATGAAATTTTGTCTCTGGACAATATTACTGTATCGATTAGTGGAAATACGAAGCACAATTATAATATCTTCCTCCTCCTGCTTAGAATAATGTGGAAAAGATTAAATGATTAGTTATTAAGAACTCTTATATGCCAAAAACACAAATAATGTGTTAAACTCAAAAATGTGATCTTAATGCCATTGCCAATAACCTATAAAGTGGGCTAAATGTAAGTTATTAATAGTTGTGCTAACAAGGTTCAAAAGTTATTTGAGAGATATGTACCAGCCAGGTGGTTAGGCTAAAACAAGCTCACTGCCACAATGATTTTGAAGTAAACAGTGAATTCTAACCAACTTTTCTGATTAAAACCTGTTTAGTTTGCCTTCAGTTTATTGTTTCAAAATATTTACATCTGATATTCGACATAATTATCTATATTTGACTACATAATTAATATAAAGGAATTTAGTGTTCTGTTTTAATGGTAGTAGTTAAATTTCTAAATTTATGTAGATGCTTTCAAAAGATCACTGCGAATATTGTTGTTTTCTGTATTAATTAAAACATAACATTTTACACTGCTGAAAATGATAGTTTACGTTTTGCAACAGAATCTATGTTCTGTATCAATTCAGCTTCAAGTTTCAGAGCATTTGTGTCCTGCATAAATACAGGAAAGTTCTGTTCCACGATTTCTATGTCCTCAAACACAATGCAAATATGACGGGTGTGATTATCACCATTCAAGTAAATACAAAACATCTCGTTCATTACAAAGGATAGCAGAGATGGCAAGCAATGGTTTATATTTGAATATCAGATGGAAAATGTCACATCATGCAGGTCTGCAGGTATACTTTTATTCATGTTTTTGATATAAGTAAACGCAGAATTTTAAATTTTATAAAAAAAAAAGAAAATTATGGAGTGGTAGTCTTTAAAGAAAGGTGGGATATTGAGGCTCAAGAAAGCAAGTTTTCCGAAGCTTATGTAAATCTTATCATCGAATATTTAACTCCTTTCCAAGGGACGAGTGCTATTATGGAAGAAGAAAAAGCAATAAACATTAGGAGGATGTACTGTGACTTTAAAGGCTAACTCCCATGCTCTAAGATGAGATTTTTATTACAGAACCTTTAAAAAATATTTCTGCATAGTTCCATTCAAGGAACACTTACTGTATTTGCTCAAATTGTGAATCATTATCAGCACAGATATTAGCAAGAAGTGGTGATCATAGTTGGGCAATTACTTGAGTAAATGAGTAGTTAAATTAATTCAATGATCATGAGTAATAAGTACAGTTAAATTACTCATGAGTAATTATGGTCTGTTAAGAGTGATCAATCTTAATTGTTTGGCCATGAGTAAATCATTCATCATCCATTTTATCATCATGAGTATTGATTGAAAAAAAAAAATGGTTTCTTTCATTTTATCTAATATTTTTTTGGAGGCTGGGCTGGGTATAAAATTTTTATACTTATCAGAATATATTTAACAAATCTATAAAAAAAATCACAGTATGATTTAAATAAAGAAATACAAGCTTTTTATTCGGGGAACAACCCAATAAAATAATCTGTTGTAATGAGATAAATAAAATGATGGAAATGAAACCAGTGTTAATACTTGTGATTTTATTTTTGTTTTTCTATTATTATTTATTATTGTTTCATTTATTTCATTACAAGATATTTTATTTTATTGGATTGTTTCCTGGATAAGAATTTTGTTGAATATATTTTGATAAGTACAAAACTTTTTACCCAGCCTCCAAAAAAAATATTAGATTAGATGAAAGAAAAACCTTTTTTGTTTTCAATCATTACTCATGATGATAAAATGGATGATGAGTGATTTGCTTATGCCTAAACAATTAAAAGTGATCACTCATTAACATGGGAGAAATGAGTAATTTAAATCTTCTCATTAGTCATGATCATTGAATTGGTTTAATTATTCATTTACTCGAGTAATTGGCCCACACTAGTGTTGATAGAATAGCAAAAACTAATTTACTAACATACAACAACAAAATCATGAGAACTTGTGAAATAAAAAAATAATTATTTCAACTACCAACTAGACAAGAGCAATGTTAACGAACTTAAAGCATGTGGCTCCTGTAAATTTTTAAAGAAAGGTATTAACCCCAATATAACTGAAGACTTTGTTTTCTCATAGCAAAAGTGTAAAAACAATTCTGCAGCTAATTAAAAGAAGCATCTGCAACAGAAACTATAATATTTGGACAAGTATTGATTATCGATCTTTCTTAGAAGATATAATCGATCACAACCTAATTTGTATTTTAATAGCTGTTTAATGTACATGTTGTTAAAAATATCTGAAAGCCTGAGATAGCTCATAGCTCATTTTTATTGGCAAAGGTATGTAACATGGCACAATCTACATTTTCGAAATTAAAAAATTTCTTTTGATTCATATGGAGAATGAATTGTTAGAAAAATATGTTATAGTAATATAAATCATAAGATGAGTAATAACTTAAAAAATTAGTCCAGATTTTTTAATAAAAAGATTTTTTTTTTTAAATTGAAAAAGTTAAAATAATATATTGGTACTTAGCTCATTACTGATGCTCTGTCTTCATTTGTATAAAAAAACAGTTCTTATATGATGTTTTAATTATTTTTAGATGGTGATATGTCTAGGAAGAAGACAGAAAACATTGTGATATTTAATGCTACACCTGACAATACCATATTATTCTTAATTTGTCATTCTGAAACATTTTCAAGCCATATCAATGGAATTTTAAAATTTTAATTGATTTAAAATTGTATTTATATTTTTATGTACCTTATCAATTAAATTTATTTTTAATTTATTATGTTTTCTTATCGGGAACTTTAATTTTATTTCCATTTAGGAATATATTCCTTTATTGGATATTTTGATGATAATTTTTCCATCACATATTTTAAAAATGCTTTTTTTTTTTTTTTTTATGTTATGTGAGTTTTATTTATAGTAGGGTCTTTTGTTGTTGTAATTTTCCGTTTGCTACCATCTTTAATTATATTACTTGTTTAAAAAAAATTATCTCAAAGTAGTCTGAAATTTCTGGTGTTTTTGGCTTTAACAACAGCAAGTCTGAAATCTTGGTTTTTGTTGAACTCAAAAATTTAATAAAATAATTGGAAATCAAACTAACATACTAATCTGTGGTTCTGTTTCTTTTGAAAGAGGGGTGTCATCTGAATTAGTTGTCTTCATAGAAGAAGTAAATATACAGAGGAACACGATGGCCATGTATAATTATTTATATTATTTTCGGTTCGACTGTTTTGTTCATATCATATCTACTCATTGATTCTTTTTACTTTTCCGGCTAGTGTTGTTCAATCACTGCTGGATTCAATTAATAAGAGCAGAAGCCATATTAATTTTACTTGAAATTAAAAACCAAATAAATTATTAATTAAGTTTTTAAATTTTAAATGGAATTCCTAAAAAGGAAAAACTGATTACACATTGCAAATAGTTTCCATATTGAAGTTATGTTACTAGCAAAATTATAGAAGAAATGAAGTAAAGAGATTTCTTACACTTTTTGAATGATACTTGAAAAAAGTTTTACTACTATTTGACCCTTTGACTGCAGGAGTTCATTCGCATGCTCCTACCAGATGGTGCATCCTGAAATCCAAAAAGAGCTCCAAACAACAGATTTTTTTTTTTGCATAAACTTTGTTTTAGATGCCATTTTGATACCTCTATTAGATCTTAGCTTTCAAAAATTCATTTTAACCTTTTTATTCAACTTTTAATAAATGGGACTTACGCCTTCTCAGCCGCACATAGTAATGCAAAATTAAAACGGCCATCCCGCAACACTTAGCTTTCATGCATATTTGCTTATTTCTGAAAAGCAAAATTAAACTGAAAATTGTCATAAACATAACTCTAAGTGATCATAGAAATTAAATTGATAGGGTGTATAAAAAAATTGACCATTCTTCAACCAAATATTTCTATTATTATTTCTTTGATATAAAATACCATTAATACTCAAAGTATAGTCCATTGTTATCTACTTTAATTGGTTATCTGCTAGCCCATTGCTCAACCCCATGCTGAAACCATTCTTTGAGATGGCTGTCAAAGAAGTCTTGGACCGCTATTTCAACTTCCACAAAATTATCAAATTTTTTCCCTTAAAGAAAATGGGTCATGGATAAGTAGTAATCCGATGGTGTGAGGTCTGGACTATATGGTGAGTGAGGTAGGCATCTCATATCAGAAGGGTTTTAAATAAATTTTCACAAATTTCTAACCTCTTAGCTGATTGCTGAGGAGTAAATTTTGTGAGGGACCAGTCTGCTGCTCTTTTTCACCTTCCCCATGGAGAGTAGATCGTGACTAACAGTATCTTTCGACACACCAAAGTCCCTGACATGTTCACAAGTACTTGTGTAACAATATCCATTAATGGTCGCCCGGAGCCCTTCTTCCTTTCCAACGTCGTATCTCCACTGCTAAATTTTTCAAACCAATGCTCCACAGTGCGCTGGTAAAGGACATCGAGTTGCTTCAGCGACTGTGAAATTTTTTCTCCAGTGATGCCTTAAAATCACGAAAATTTCGTAGGACACAAATATATATATATATATATATATATATATATATATTGTAGAAAATTTACATTTATTTGCTTAGTAGACAGAGATTCATTAATTTACATTTCTGAGAAAATTGTAAAAATGTGTTTCACCGCTGACATAAAGTGGCACTTCCGGTTAGCTGCTTTTAAGGAAAAAGTCGCTGTCACATCTAAGGCATATACCTATCTTAAATATCAGTTTTGTACAACTTTTTGTTTTTGAGCTAGACCGTTAACATACAGACACACAGACCATTTAGCGGGACTTGGTTATTTGGACTCAAAGCATTGGAGGTACCTCAAAAATAACAGAGAAAGGACATACCTTAGGTTCAGAATAAATCTGCAACTGATAGTTTCCAAATGGTCAGAATTCGGAACGACTGCACTGAGGTAACTAATGAATGCACCGACCAGGCCACAAGTCAAATAGTGAAGGTGGGACTTGGCCTTCCTCTTTAAATGGTAACCGCCCAGGCGGGAAGACATGTGTTCTGTCCACAGTCAAAGGGTTAATCCTATTAATTACTAGTAAATGTTGTAGATTTTTTTTTTCTGAATTATATTTTGTATAATATCATTGTCAAGTATTGTGATTTGGAAAGAATACACACAATATTAATTTTCAGTTAGTTATTTGAATAATTTTCTCTATTGAAATCTTTTAATTTTTAACCTGTATTCTTAAAGCTGAACACGCTCAGATCTCTAGTTTATTCTTGTGATGAATTTTTATTAGTAAGATTTCATTGAATCTCAAATTCCAACAGATGTAGCAAACAGAAGTTTTGTTATATTATCTTATATCCAAGGCAAATAAATAGGTTAACACTGTACTATTATTGTTTTGTTTTTATTTTTTCTATAACTATTTTTAATTTAATTTATTATAGAGGGTATAGAAGTTCATTTGGTTTCTACTGATGAAATCAATATATTATATCCATATCTTTTTTTATTCTGTCTTTTGAATGAGCATTTAAATTATAAATAGAAGTGACAAATTATTTAAAACTTAATCTTATTGCATGTTTCTTTATTGTAATTGATACATTTGTCTTTTTCTCGTTATAGCCTCTGAGATAATGTTTTAACTTTTTACCTTGTAATAGGCATGTTTAACTCAATGTCTTAATGTTGAACATTTGTTCTTTGAAGATTGTTTATATTAGCAGTTGATACCGGTAATTAAGTATAATATTTATTTAAATGGGTTTTATATAAATTCTCTAATATTTTTATGCATGTATGATGGAAATTATCACAGTAGTAATTTGCCAGAATGTTGATAAATCAACTTTGAAATGTTAATTTATAGGGGAGGGAAGAGTCTGGTTTAAAAGATTAATGTTTATTTTTATTTAATAAGAGTCAATAGTTATTAGATTTAGTAGGCTGAGAATAGTATCAATATATGTGCCATATATTATATAAATGAAGAAGTTGATTCTTGAATTCATTCTTGGCATTCAGATGTTATGTGATATAATTTATTAAATCTTAATGTTTGTCAATTCTGGTTTTGTACATTACTATATAAAATTGTGTGCCCATTTTAACAAAAAAAAAAAAAAAAAAATATTATGTTTTAAAACCTTTAAAATAATAGTAAGTCATCATGTGACTGAAAACATCTATATTTCATAATTATTAATGATGTAGAGATGGTTGACCGTTGATATGATATGAGAAGGAATTAGTCGAGGGTGCGGTCAAAAAAATAAAAAAAATTAAAATATATAAATAATTTTAATTTTTGCCGACGTTTCGACCCACTTTGCAGGTCGTCTTAAGGGCGTTGGATGTGGCACTGCGGGAGGCGGTTGAAACACTCAACACTCAAGAGTGTTTCAACCGCCTCCCGCAGTGCCACATCCAACGCCCTGAAGACGACCTGCAAAGTGGGTCGAAACGTCGGCAAAAATTAAAATTATTTATATATTTTAATTTTTTTTATTTTTTTGACCGCACCCTCGACTAATTCCTTCTCATTTCATAATTATTAGTTCATTTCTTGGGCATTAATTGGTATTTGGTATTGTAAATTTATATTATTTTCTATTGTCTCACTGTCATATATAGCTGTAATTTTACTATAATGTAGTTACCAGATTTATTTATATTCAGTTATAGTTTTTGAATTATTTATAATTTATCATTAGATTAATATTTACTCACAATGAATGTCATATTTCGATCATGTTTCTAATTTAAATTAATATTTAACTTGTTCATACAAACTTAAACAAGGCTAGTAGATAGTTTACTGGCTGGCTTCTTAAGATAAATCAACTCAATTTAAAAGCTTCCATGGCTCATTAAATTTTATTTTGATTTAAAAATTATTGGGCTTCATCTTTTAATCAACTGTGGTTTGACAGATGCTTCCTGGATCCGCTTAACATTAAAGATTAGTACTTGACAATAATAAATAGATAATTAACGGTGGTTATATCCAGTGGACATTTGACCATTAGATCAATATAATTCTTTTACATCAACTGGTTTCTGTCCTTACTACAAGTTGTGGGATGGAGCTTTTAAAAATATTATTGGTACCATAGTTTCACTAGTTCTAGTCATTTGGTTGCCATGGACTGTAACCAGGACACATATTAAAAAAAACAATCCACGAATTATCTTCGTCCATTTAAGCAAATAGTACCGATATCTTCCATAATTCCTATAAATTTTATCTGATACATTGGTAAACGTGTACATTACTTTGAAAAAACTTAGACATGTATAGCCACGCAAATCTGATTACTTTTCAATCTTAACATTAACTAAATCTTCACATTTTTACTTTATGCCTCCACATTTTAAGGATCATTCTGAATGTTTCGTGAATCACACCTCTAACCATTTTAGAGTTCACTTGTCTATTTTAGAACATTTGAAGGTGGCGATCGATTCAATAATGCAAGGCCTAGCTGGTGTACTCAGTTTATTTTTGATCTAACTAAACTAACTTCTAATTAACTTCAATTGACTGCTTTCAGTTGCTATTTTGAATTTCATGGAGTATTCTATCGGCCAAAATATCTGGTCTTGGACTAGGCGTAAAGTACAGAATAATATTATAATGTGTACTAAATAATATTATTCTGTACGCTTTGAGATTAGGTCTGAAACAATACTTTCCATTGTAAATTAAATTTTTCATCAAAGGAAATAATTTTAAATGTAAATTTAATTTTTTAGAGACTAGTTATAGGACAACGGGAGGGAAAGGAGGAAAAAAAGAAAAATATCATTTACATATATAT